CCGCCACTGAGGTTGTGGATAGAGCTGTTGCTGCAATTTTCTTGTTACAATGTCTCGGGTGGCTAGGACACACCTTGAGAATGGAATACGGTAGAATCCCAAAGGACATCCTCTATGGTGGTTGCAGATGGAGAGAAGGGGTGTCGGGACCGACTACTATAGTTCGGGGTGGAACTGGATGATGTCGGCGTTAAGGTGGATTCGTGGGAACAAGGTACCCTGGGCAGTGTTGTTACCGGGGGTGGGGAGGGGGAGGCCGGGATGAGTGGAGAAAGAAATTATTGCGGGAGGACGGTGAGAGCTGGGCGTCCAGGAGGGGACGCATTGAACACAAATGGTGGCGACAGTGATCATGACGTTTAACGCTATAATTGTTGAATGTTGAATTAAGAATCTACATCACAGCACTCGGGACATCCACATAAGCGCCCCGTCCCCATCTTCAGCAGCAAGCGAAGATTTAAAATTCCGATGGTACCAGTAAGTCAAATTGTAAATCCGTCTCGCCTTTCCCCTGAGTGTCGAGTGTCAGGCAGATCCCCTTGTGACTCCTCGCAGTGCCATTCTCCTCAGACCATAATGATCTATCTGTTCTTCGGCTCTGTTCACTCGCTCCCAAAGGGCCCTCACAACCTGTCATATATCAGTTCACCACCAAGTGGGGCAGAACCGGCCAGTCTAGCTACCTGATCATTTCCCAATAGACTGGCATAACCTGAAATATATATCCAAAGGATGCTAACTACCAGTACTTCTGAAGTGATGCTTGCCACTCTGCACGAAGCATGCCTGTCTCCAACTTTCTCAGCACGCTCTGTGAGTCAGTTACAATCACGACATGTGTGTACAGCTGATTCTCAAGCCAGCGGAAGGCTGCAGTTTGGCAGACTTTTCTTAACGCGGACAGGTCTTGCTAGTCACACTCGCCATCGCCATGAGCTGTGGGTCGTATGCCTCCTCACAGCACAATATAACACTGTTGGCTAGAAAGAAAGAAAGTTGCTGACGAAAAATAAGTTTATTGTTCATTTTTAGATCATCTCCATCGCATATCGGACATGACCATAAATGCTCCAGACTCACTGAGTATTTCTCCAAGCGTTTTTAGGCAAACAACTCCCATTCTGTTCTGGTTGATGTACCGACAGGTGGCTCCCGCCTGGTTTTCTTGTCTCTCCGCTTCAACTGGTACAACCAGGGTGTGCAGTCTATTCAGTGAAAAATCACTTTAAACCACATTGAAAGCCTCAGTCCGTGTAGCCTCTCGTATGGCATTGGCGATGTATCTCCTGTCCATAGATGGCCCATCCCTGACACTCGCACTGCTAGCCAGAGCGTCTGCTCCCTCATTGCCTTTCACATCAGCCTGCCCTGGGACAAAAATAAAGGTGATTTTGCACAAAGCTGCGTGATGTGTCAGTTGGAGCCATAGTTTCCGTATGTACCCAGCCTTGATCTTCTGCAGCGTGCTCACTGAGTCGCTGGTGAAGTCCTGACATTTCAGCCATTCGAGGGCCTTTGTCACTTCCATGACCTCCATTGTCATGCTGCTGGTGGTAGAAGCCAAGGCTCTGCTATCTTCAGTTTTCTTTATCTTCCACTTTCCCTTTGTTTCTTGCCGTGAAAATCCTTGCACTTTGCTTCTGACGAATCATAGAACCATCTATACAAATAACAGCATTTTCTAGTAGTAGCGCCAAATCACGGCACTGTCTTGTCAGGGTGATAACCACCACAAATTACTGCTTGTATTCATTTGGTATAGGTGTTCATTCCTCTCCATGGTTTATGTCTTAATGGGAAATTACCCGTTGAATTATTGACTCTGCCCAGCCCAAGCGAGACTGGCCCCGGGGCCGCCATAGCGCAGTCTGTAGGAGACTCGCTTTCAAAACCAGCTGCCATTCACTGCAGCCCACGGCTGGTGTTCGAAACCGGACGGTTCCAGGGGTACGCCAGGCCTTTAGGTAATGGGTACCAGAGTGTTAACTCGGGGTAAATGGAGGAACGTCGCTGTTGCGTGCGGACGGCGACACAGGCGGACAGTTTCCGTATTGATGGCAGAGCACTTATGGTTCATAAACGTGTGCAGTGACGATGGTTCAAATCTCCCGACTTTACCTTTCCTATACCTTTAAGACTGGCCACTTTTAAGTATGTTGCCCTACATGTATTCGGTTCAGCGTACAGTGGGTGTGTAAAGTCCTCCGTGATTTTAATGTAGGCACAATGCTTGACACATTTCAAACCTGCTGCTTATATCTGGAAGATCTAGTAGGATCTTACTGCTCTACATGAATTGTCTTTGGTGCAGCTAAGTATGATGCTCATTGCTTCATTTTGTATCTTTTCCATTCTGTCGATTTGTGTCTTGCCGGGGTGAGGATTGCTAGTACATATTCTGTGACAGATAGGATCAAACTCTGCTAGAGACTTATTAACAGCCTTTGTTGACAACACATGGCAGCCATAGCTCGTATTGCAGCCAAACCCTTTCTGGTCTTGTTGATCATAGTATCAGTTGGGAATCTTCAGCTAAGGCTCTGATCAAAACCTACTTCCAGGTATTTTAAAAGTTCACTCCTTACTGTCTTTTCACTATTCATATGCACAGAGGGCGTTGTTGTAATTGTTCAAAAAGAACCAAGTTGCTGTCGCTTTTTCATGATTAATCTGTGCTTCGGAGGTTTCACACCAATCTGCTATGTGCTCCAGTTTCTTTTGGAGTTCTTCTACAACTCCGCCCCTGTTCTTACCTTGGTGGTACACTAGTATATCATCAGCGTTCTGCATTCACCTGTGATTTTATATTTTGTCACCTCAGTTGTGAAGAGAGCTTGGGCATGGGAAAAAAGTGATCCCTGAGGCAATCCGAAATATGTCTGCAGTTTCCCGGAAAACGAGGCAGAGGTCGACCTCTGCAAACGTGGACACAGGACATTAGAGATGCACTGACTAAGAGAGCACACAGAACTGGAGGGCTGGCTACAGAATTAGACTGTCATGTGTGTCGTGAAGAGAGCAACGTTCTGTATCAGACATGCTGATATATATTTTAACAATTATCCCATTTTGGCATCCCCTATTGATGACGCACGATGAAGACCGTACCGCCTTGCTCCACCACTGCTGGGTGTGCAGTTTAACAAACTATTGGGTGTCGGTCTCTTAATGCTGTTACCACACCTGTACTAGTCTCTTCTTCTTGCTGCCAGGTCTTCAACGTGACCCTTTGATGTGGATTTTATAAGGACTTGAATGCTATGTCTTTCAATGTAGATGGAATATTTTTTTTTTTTTTTTTGGTAATACTATCTATTTTTCCTGTATGTCATCCAGAAAAAGCCATTTGACTTTTTCATTTGCTCATTGTCCAGGATTCGTCTACTTTTGAAGTGCTTTGTCGACTAGCGTGTCGGATGAAGTAAGTAGTATAAAAACGACATAATCCATTTAATTTATCGAGTTTTTTTTTTTTTTTTTTTTGCTCTTTACGCTATACTAATAACCCTCGACATTGAAAATAAAGGGAAAAGCCCTACTCCGGAGAGTCCCTCCACGTACAACAAAGAAGAAAAAAAATCCGGAGGGTGAGGGTTCCCTCCACATGAGACAAAGAAGGTGAAACCCTTCCCCAACCCTCTTGAGCGAGAGAGGGTTCATGATTGCCTGTGGGTATTTCTCAGTGGTTGTGAAAGCGCTTCGCAATACCGGTGTATTGGATTCTAAAACCTTTAACGTGTATGAGCGGATTATATGATTGCTGGTTATTGATTTATGCTCATGTATTTTATTGAGCTCTGAATCGATGTCAACCTTTTGGGTTTTGTCTTTTTATCCTGCTTAAACAATTTGAGAATGAGTGCCTCCCCCCCCCCCCAATCCCGCCATTTAGATGCAAAATCCCCCCCCCCTTATTTTAAGTTCAGGAGCCACCAGTCGCACAGATACTAACAAAACAGTGGGGTGGAGGCCAGTGAGGCCTCCATATACATTTTCTAAGCAAAAAGGGGAAGGGGGTTCAAGACGCCGAATCCTGGTTTAAGGGCATAAAAATCATAATGTGCTGAATGCTAAATAAGTATAATACGAATTATATTTGTAACAATATGGAATGATAAACAAAAGTTTTTAAAGAGAATTTCTATACCTGGTTAAAATTTGGAGGAAGGGTGTGCTGAAGGGGCCTGGGCCCTAGTTTCTGGGGCTTATGGTGAACCCCATGTTCTGGGGCCTATGGTGAGGCACCTATGTTTTGACGACTATTGTGGGGCACCCATGTTCTGGCGCCTATGGTCAGGCTCCTATGTTCTGGCGCCTATGGTGAGCCACCTATGTTTTGACGCCTATTGTGAGGCACCCATGTTCTGGCGCCTATGGTCAGGCACCTATGTTCTGGTGCCTTTAGTGAGGCACCCATGTTCTGGCGCCTATGGTCAGGCACCTATGTTCTGGTGCCTTTAGTGAGGCACACATGTTCTGGCGCCTATGGTGAGGCACCTATGTTTTGGCGCCTATGGTGAGGCACCTATGTTTTGGCGCCTAAAGTGAGGCATCCTTGTTCTAGCGCTTATGGTGAGGCACCTATGTTCTGGCGCCTATGGTGAGGCAAATATGTTTTGGCGCCTATGGTGAGGCAAATATGTCCTGGCGCCTATGGTGAGGCACCTATGTTTTGGTGCCTAAAGTGAGGCACACATGTTCTGGCATTTATGGTGAGGCACACATGTTCTGGGGCCTATGGTGAGGCACCTATGTTTTGACGCCTATAGTGAGGCACCCATGTTCTGGCGCCTATGGCCAGGCACCTATGTTCTGGCGCCTATGGTTTTGGCGTTTAAAGTGAGGCACACATGTTCTGGCGCCCACGGACCGCTAGTTTTCGATCCGGCCAAACTTAAGACGGCCATGATCAGACATCATAGTGACGTCATAGACACTGTTCGCGCCAACTACAAACATCGGCCCTGTTTGTGTCCGATAACCATCTCGGGATAACCATGAAGCTTCAGTTATATTGTTTGCAGGACGTCAAAAATGCGCCAGTTGCTTTTCAGAAAGTGTAAGAAGTGTAGTATTTTTAAATTGTTGTTGTCTTTTTTTTAAGTATATTTATTTAGTTGATTTAGCAGTGTTTGTAAACATCTATTTTATTGTACAGTAGAAGTAGAATCATTGCTACCAATACTACCATGATATTTCGACGCTCGAGCGAGTCACAGACACAGCAGAATTGCCTCTACCTGTACTGAACTGTAGTGAAGTGTTTGTTGGGACGGTTAATCAGCAAATACCAATAACAGTCAATGGTAGTAATACTTAAACAATACATTTTTATGCAAGAGTGCCCAACATTTGCATTGAGTACTGAACCTTTCTTTTGGGAAAAAAAAAAAAAAAACTGCTGTCAGTCCAGTCAGTCTTATCATGTACGTAAAATAAGCTTAGTTAGTAAGTAATTTTGTCCATGAATGACAGAGTTTTGTGCAGGTACTTTTAGGCTCTCCTTAAAAATTTTACCCCATATTATGGCGGTCAAAGTCAAACAAATACCCTAACAGGGCCTCAGTCTGATGCAAAATGCGGAGTTCCTGCTGAGGAACAAATCGATGCAAAACTAGGATCGGCTCCGAATAATGAAGCAAAGGCTCTAACAGGGTTTCAGCGATATGTTACCTGCGGATCTGTTTCTGCGACTATGCCGCACCGCCAACAGTATCCCCCGCACCGCTACGTGCGGCGCGGCCGGGGGCTAAACTAGATGGCTGGGACTCACGAGCAGCAGCTACAGCATCTCCTGCAACTTCCTCCAATTTATCTGCTCGTGAGACCCAGGCATCTAGTTTAGATCTAGTATCGTCTGCAGAAACGCTCGAAATTGTCAAAGATCGCTATTATGGTCTGCTACTATTGTTTGCAGTGTTGCATGTCGTGACATTGTCAAGTAATTATAGTTTTGCTGCTATGTGTTCGTCAGAAGAAGTCCGCATTTTACACACGGCTGAGGCCCTGTTGGGGTATTTGTTTGGCCGCCATAATATGGGATAGAAGTTCGAAGGAGCCTACTTTTGTAACCTTTCTTTAGAAGTAGAAGTAATATAATTATATACTAAAATCAGCAACAGTGTGACCGGTATTAGAACTTTGCGCTCACTGCTGAAGATGAGGACGGAGCACACATGGGAATGCCCTGAGTGCTGTGATATCAATTCTTGAACATAGCCCTCACTGCTGATTTTTGTAATCGACCTAGTTAAAAAGTTGGTTGTCTGTCCTTTACATGACATTGCAGAACCAACAACCCCAGCAGTTTTTTTTTGGCCTTTGTGGTTTTTCTAGGTAAATTTTAAGTTTAACAGTTCAGTAGTTTGCCATTGCTTTTCAAGCGGTCAGGTACCACTGTCGAAACCAACTCAAGACAAATCAGCTGGGATTGAACACAGTATTACGAAGCGTGTTCCCAACGCCTAATCCTTAAGCCACTGACGCTGACAATCGACCTAGACCCAACCTTAAAATGCATGTTAATGTATGCCAGGAAATGTAAATGAAAGTAAAAGGTGGCTGGTATATATATACACACACACACTCACTGACACTCGCAATTACACCACCTGCGCGCACACACACAGAGTCCCGAGACATAACAAACTACTTTACTGACACTCACACAACACGGGCACACTTACACAGAGTCCAGAGACATAACAAACTATTTTACTGATACTCAACATGGCGTGCGCGCGCGCGCACACACACAGAGTCCAGAGACATAAACTACTTTACTCACACACACACACACACACAGAGTCCAGAGACATAACAAACTATTTTATTGACACTCAAACAAATACGGGGCACACACACACACACAGTCCAGAGACAACAATTTTACTGACAATTAAACAACATGGCACACACACACACACACAGAAACCAGAGACATAACAAACTATTTTACTGACACTCACACAACACGGGGCACACACACACAGTCCAGAGATAACAACTTTACTGACAATTAAACAACATGGCACACACACACACACAGAGTCCAGAGACATAACAAGCTATTTTACTGACACTCACACAACACAGGGCACACACACACAGTCCAGAGACATAACAAACTACTTTACTGACACTCAAATAACACAGCGCACATACACACACAAACACACAGAGTGCAGAGATTTAAGAAACTATTTTACTGACACTCAAACAACACAGCGCAACACACACACACACACAGAGTCCAGAGACAAAACAGACTATTTTACTGACACTCAAACAATATGGCACACACACACACACACAGAGTCCAGAGACATAACAAACTATTTTACTGACACTCAAACAACATGGCACACACATGCACGCACACGCAGAGTCCAGAGACCTGAACTATTTTACTGACACTCAAACAACACAATACACACACACACAGACACACAGAAATATAAAAAAAACACATTCACTGACACAGAGATATGCACATACATCATCATGTAGCAGGTCCTTTGCAGAACATCGCTCTCATCACAGTCTGCCTGAAAGAAACTCGGTCTCTCGCCAGTTCTCCTGCCTCATGTTCATTTCATACTCAAGGAGTCACTTATATCCTGTGCCCATCTTCGTGTCGGTCGGCCCCTGCTCCTGGTACCATGCCTTCTGCTATAATTTTTTCCAATCCGTGTGGCACATGATATGACCAAAATATTTCAGCTTCCATTTAGCAAGATTAGAATAATTATCAGTTTTATTCTGAAAATAACCGCTACTTATTACAGTTGTCACAACTAGTATATTTTGTAAAGTTATGTGAAATAGGTTACACATTATATTGAGATGTAAGGGAAGGTCATTGATATAAGTGGGGGGAAAAGCAGTGGACAGTACCTGAGCCTTGAGGTATGCTGTTTACCTTTTTGCAGACTCTGAAAGGCAGTTATTGCAGGATACTATTAGCTGTCTTTCAGACAAAAAAATTTAAGTTATTAACTTCTCTAAGTAAGCATGAGTTTTCAAAGTTTTTGACTAATTAAAATTGTGTGCTGTATAATGTTGAAAGCTTTCTTAAAGTCTGCATATAAAGATGACTAAATGTTTCCATTGTTGTTATAATGCCAGTTGTCGGTCAAAGAAGGTATGACAGGAATATTTAGCTCCAGAACCTGATGATTGTTGATTATTATGTTGTTATTAGTTAGGTGTTGTAGTGTTATTTTTTGTTATATGTTTCTCTGTTGGTTTTGATAAGGAGGAAATGAGAGAAATATGCCTATAATTACCCAAAGAACGGTTGTCGGTTGATCAAAATTTGAGTAGAGTATAAACTAGCAGTTTTGAATGTCGATGAAAAATAGTTCTTGGCAAGACATTTATTATAATTATATCTATATAGAAAGCCTGTTGTCTGCCAAATTAAAATTAAAAACAAACAGTTGCCTGAATTTATAAAGCAGAAAACACTTGCCACATTGGATCTTTATCAGACTGGCATCATGAAGTAACTATTTTCATTAATATCAAATTTGTCAAGTCCTTACAAGATTTGAAGAAAAAATTAATTACACAGCCATGAGCTTTTTGTCTGGCAACAGCAGGTTTTCTCTCTAGAGGTACGTGGGGTTTCGCATGTTCAGTTCCTACACTTCAGGTGTTGTAGATAAGTAAAGTCTCTTTGCTGTTCCTTCTGCATGACCAAACAGGTCAGCCCCAGTAACACACTAAAGGCTCAGATCTTTGCAGTAGACTTGTGTCATTATCTTTGACATCTTTGTTGTAATAATAAAGTGACTTACTTGGCTGACATGGGTGATCATGCCTCTCTACATATTGCAATGTTCAAACAGTTCTTTCCATGCCGTAATTAAAATCTGTCTAATTTCTATCTCATTGTCTTCTATGTCCATTTCCATCAGTTGTTCCAGTTGTTGCCAGTTCGTTTTTCTCTTATAATCACCTCTTTATTGTGCGTGGGATAATTGCATCTTAGCCTGTTTGAAAACATCTTGATTACTTGTTTTTTTTTTTTTTTTTTTTTTTGGCTGTGCAAGGAATTTTAAGCATTCTTTTACTTGAAAAAAAAAGACATCCCTGCTCCTTGAAGAATCTTTTAGCGTGTTTGATATTATCTTAGTAATAATTTAAGTATCGTTTTCCAAGTCTTGAATTTATTCATATCATGGTGACCCATTGCAAAAATTTCAGGGATTCTGATTGCAAGAATTCAGCAATGTATATCTGTAAACTACACAACAGCAGACATCTTGAACACATCCTGATGTTTACTCAAGGACAGTGGAGTGATGAAAAAGATGATTTAAATATTGACATCTTCATTGTGAAAGGAAGGAATGATAAACACAAGTTGTGTACTTTGAATAAAACTGAAAGGTATGGCAGCACATGAAATATATTTCCTTTGAACTTGACATTTGTGTATGCTTGAAACTATCGCTCACTTGATGTTGATGAAACAGTTGCCATTTTCACAGTTAAACCTTGCTACAGTGGACTTTTAACAGCTAAAAGCTGTTACTGTGTTGTGTTGATAGTTCTTTTCTGTTTAAATCTAACTGGATATATTTCCTACTAAGCTGTGCCCTTTTGTACTTTTACTGTCTATGTAACCACTGCATTGTGTTCATTACGTAATTCAAGAATCTAGCTGAATTTTTCACTGCATTCATTCACAGCAAGGTCAGTTGTTGGGCATAGAAAAAAAAAGGCATGAAATACATTTAGAAATGTGCTTTGAATTTTCTGGAAATTAGGGATAGCAATGGACCATTGCACCTTTGTTATAAAAGTCTAACACCTCACATTGTACCTTTGTTGTGAAGGTCTAACACCTCACATTGCACCTTTGTTGTGAAGGTCTAACACCTCACATTGTACCTTTGTTGTAAAGGTCTAACACCTCACATTGTACCTTTGTTGGGAAGGTCTAACACCTCACATTGCACCTTTGTTGTGAAGGTCTAACACCTCACATTGTACCTTTGTTGTGAAGGTCTAACACCTCACATTGCACCTTTGTTGTGAAGGTCTAACACCTCACATTGCACCTTTGTTGTGAAGGTCTAACACCTCACATTGCACCTTTGTTGTGAAGGTCTAACACCTCACATTGTACCTTTGTTGTGAAGGTCTAACACCTCACATTGTACTTTTGTTGTGGCCTAGAATATGTGAAGGTCTAACACCTCACATTGTACTTTTGTTGTGGCCTAAAATATGTGAAGGTCTAACACGTCACATTCCAACAGCAGTATCTGCTGTGGAACTACCTATACATTGATATAAAACTAACAGTTATTGCTTGTAGGTCGTTTCAAGAGTGGACTAAAGGATTGCTATTTTCTTGATGACCATAATGGACTGCTGTCTACTCTTGGGGCTCCATTATGGCAAAAACAAGTATAGACTTACTGACCACCCCCCCCCCCTTCCCTACAAGCATGTCCTTAGAGTCGACTAAATTGGTTCTTCCTTTGGAGTCAGAGTGCATCAGCCTGAGAGGCAAGAAACCAGCAGTATGCATACAAATAAGCCAGATCGGTAAAACGGATTTGCATGCAACACTCAAGTTTTGGAGCAAGACTTAAGTCCAAAAGTGGGTGAACAAGCTGAGCTTTCCACTGGAGTTCACACCCGGTGAATGGGAAACAAAGCAAATCAAGCATTTGCCATGCTGACCAACGCATGGAAGTCAAAGAGATTTAGTTTAAAGACAAAACTCAGAATATTTTAGGAATAATATTATACAATAGTGAATGTTGGCAAATGACAGTGGGGATTACACATAAACTTGAGACTTCTAAAAATATATGTTTAAGGAGAATTCTAGGAATATTTTGGCCAAACAAGGTCACAAAGGAAGAACTAAGGAGGAAAACAGAATGTGCATCACTGGCAAATGTTATTAAAGTAGGACGATGGAGATGGCTTGGACATGTTTGCAGAATGCCTTGTGTCACTCTGGCAAAAACAGCTCTCCGATAGACAGCAGATGGGAAAAGGAAATGTGGACTACCTAAGGAAATCTGGAGAAGGACAATAGAACGGGAAATGAAGGAATGTAAACTGACATGGGATACCATGGGCAGAAAAGCAGCAGACCGGCAGCAGTGATCACTTGTGAATGCCTTATGTGTCAACAGCGACATGAAGAGAATATAGAAAGAACGGGATGAAGAACTTCACTGTTAATAGTTATGTAAGATAATCAGGAGTTGTAACATGGGACCCAAATTCAGCTTGTTCTGAAGTTGTGCTGCTGGGGGAAAACATAGAATGATTGTTAAATTCAGAAGCTTCTTTAAGGTATTTGTTACTAGGATTTTATTTGTGATCTTCAGTGATCACAGTGAATGAATCTGGTTGCTAAATAAATGCATACATTTGGGCACCGATATGTTTAAATAAATTAGTATTGTAACCGATGCCTTTAACTAATATGAGCAGTAATTTCTGTATGATGACACAAATATTCTAATGCCTGTCATATTTGGCTGTATTTTTTTAGCTACAAAATGTATATCAACATACAAGGCACACAAATTAATGCTTAAAGCTGAAATAAAAATACCACATTGTTTTTACTTTGTAAACTCTCATCTCGCCATGGAAGTCTAAGATAAACCACATGATCCTTTTGTTTACATATCATTGTATAGCCTGTCCTATAGTACTGTTTCTGCAAATTTCAATAGATGCATTTTCAGCATGTGATAAATACCCATAATGTACTATCCCTTTAGACCATTTACCCAGATTCTAGCAGACAATATCCTATGGAATAATTAGGCTCTGTTCTCTATATTGATCTAGGCCTTCATGAAGAATTTCTATTCAATTTATTGATTTTTTTTTTTTAAAGCAGAGATTCTAGTAATGACTTCTTACAAAACTATGCACTGTGACTGCTAATTTGCTCTGGGGTATTCTTCTGTATTTATTTTGATCCTATCATCCAGCAAGTGCAGATTATTGGACTTGCTCCCAGATAAGTAGTCCAGTTTTAGCCAACTTCACAAATTTGATATCAGTAATTTCCTGGAGATGTTGATATGGCTGCTGCAAAACTGCTCATGTGACTGCTTGTGTGAGGTCTGTCACAGTGTATGGATTCAACATTTATCCATATGTCTAATGATTTATAGCTGGGATTTAATGACTTTCATGGAAGCGGTGGAAGTTTTGGGTATATTTCTCAGTCTGGGCATTGATTTAACCCTTTCGTCCCAGGAAGCCACAAAACTGACACTTTCTGTTTGGTCCACTTTCCCCACTTGTCTATACTGACCTGGGCAGTACATTTAAAGCTGTTGGCAGTTTTAGAGCTTCTGCAAACATTTAAAAGATCAGGATGTGAATACATTAACTGAAAATAACGTTGGGGGGGGGGGGGGGGGAATTAGCTAAAGACTTACCTTAAAATTCAAGGATAGAGGTCACAGCTTTAGTCACCTAATACATCTGGTTTTTTGTTTTTTTAAGGCCTCTCTAAATGTATTCTATTTAATGCTTCACCTTGTTCGTGTTTGTTGATTATGCCTTCATATTTCATTATATATTGGGGGGGGGGGGGGGGGGGGGTAAAATGTATATTAGTAACCTGTGCACTCAAAAATTAGGAATATTTGTCTAGAGTGTTCCTAAGGTGAGATGCTTAAGGACAGCATAACTAATTTGAGTCAGATCCACAGAACGAAATGTAAAATAAAATTATTTAAAGTGTGAGTGAATTGTAACACAAATGTACCTTTCTTTTTTTTATCCATCTACAATTCCAACAGCTGTTTTCAATGGACAAATTCTGATAGCTCAGTGAAACTATCCCATTCCAACAAGATGACTTTAGAAGCTGTTGTGACCTGCCCAGATAACACAATCTCAAGTGAAACCTCCGAGAATAACCCAGTATCCAGTCCAGCATTCACAAGAATCTCTCTCAAAGAAAGTCAACAGATGAAGCAAATCAATGAAAACACACCTGCCACAGTGGTAATGTTCAGTTAAATGTCTGCAGTTTTGTTTAGCTGAAACTTTCAGTAACATGCAGTTTATCATATTTTTCTTGGTAGTTCCAGAGATAATATAATGTTTATACTGTCCTCTGTCAACAGCAGTTTCTTTACAACCTTTTGATCCAGATAATTAGCTTTAACTTCTGTTTATCAAAGTGTCTCTTTTCAACTCACTCAAATCTGAGTATTTATTGCCTTTAAGCAGAGTTTGAGATAGGAGTTATAATACTGACAGCTAATAACTGCATGCCTTGTCTTTCTATCCTTGATGGTCAGAAAATAGCAACTCAGGTTATCTTTTTATAAGCTTTCTATTAAATTCATTTTTTTCTTCTTCCTTGTTCTAGAAACTATTACAGATGCTGATCTCATATTTTAATGCTGCCAACTAAACACTTTTAGAAATTTAAATATTACCAAAGTCCATGATGTTGCTGGCAGGGCTGTAAAATATCTTTTGGGGATGTTTGTTTGAGGAGCATTGAGATATTGTAGACAGAGGCATTAGCTTGTGCATCATACTGCGTGGCTGAATATAAACAGTTTAATGTGTGCCTACTCCTACTTATGTATGGGTTATACAAATAATCTACTAATGGAATATAAATATTTTGTTTTTAAACAAGTCTTTTATGTCACTAGCACACTATGTAGGTAAATTTCCAGTGATTATGGGGCAGGTTTTTAACAGTCATAGAAAATTGTAGTGCTAACTTGGATTATTGATCTATTCTCGTTGACAGTTAGCTTGTGAAGTAAAATCTCCATTGCCAGCTAAAAACCCTAAGAAAAGAAAACAGACTGAAGAAACAACGCCCAAGCTGAAAGCTAGACGGCAAAAAATGGCAATGAAAGCCTTGAATCAGAATACACCACCATCTAAGCAAGCACTCACAGAGCTTACAGACTCCATTGCTGACATAGCTTCAAAGGGATCAGTCTCCAGGATTACTCGATGTGTTGATTTGTCTGCACGAGGTACATTATTGTTTGCTTTAGAGTATATTCGTATAGGGGAAAACAGAAATAGACCCACTGATTTCCTAAAAGCATATGTTAGGAGTCAGCTAACTGGGGACTTCCTTCGAAGTGAAAGTGCATCTGCCCGAGCAGCAAGAAACAACCAACTGCACACAATAAGCCAGTAAAACGGATGTACACGTAAAACTCTGGCACTAAGTCAAAGTCCAGATTGACGAGCAACCAGGATTTTCCCTGGAGCTTACAGCTGGTGAACAAAGAAGAAGAAGAAACTTCATGGAATAAAAAAAAGCATGAATTATACCAATTGCTATATAAATGTTCATTAAGGCTGTCATATATGGATCTGAATCAGACATCTTTTAATCAACAGCAGTTCTGATATGTCTAGCCCGTTTGTTTAGGCATATTTTTATAGCCCATCATGTCCATAAATGTTCCTGTTATCTATTTCTAGTTCCATAATTACTATGGCTGTTTATTTGTATGCTCTGTTGTATGTACATTGAGTTTTCTATTCAATGTGTGTTGTATTTAGTACTCCACTTATGAAGACTGGTCAGAATGTTCATTTGTTTTTGTTCTGGTCTTTTCTTCCATTGAGCTTTCTGTCCACGGTTGTTGTTTCTTTAGTGATATCAGCTTGCCTGCAGTTACTCCTATTTACGCCATTATTTTCAGTAGTCGGCTGCCGGGCTCACGCTGAACAAAACCTATATTTGATGTAATTTTTGTTTCGCATTGATTCTCTGCTCTCCTGTATGCCTTTACAAATTGATCCCTTACAGATTGGTTTAATGAGATTTTCCCCAGAAAAAATCAGCATCCTCTGATAACACCAATCGTCATGTGCTGTCTTGGTCACTTTGTTGTCTTCTCTAAAACAGCTTTGACCAGTTTTGGTGTTAAGGACATGGTGGCTTCGCCTTTTTCCCTCAATAGATGAGCCCTCTATGTGCATATTTACCACTTGGCTTTAATATAATTGTATAATTAGTTTCTACTCCAAATTGTTCCAAATTGATTGTAAAGTACCATATGCCACAGGGGCCTTAATACCCCACATCTAACTAGCCAACACATGACATGCCCGCTTACTGAGCACGAGCACCTAACATTGTGACATGACATCAACTGCCTTAGTCATAACTTTCCTGTTTTACTCTGTACAAAGTCATAGCGCCATACACACTGACACTTAGTGACCCCTAAAAATCCTCATGTAACTAGCTGACACAATAACTTAACCCCTTACTGAGCCACCGGCACCTAACACCTCCATACAGCACCCATCTCATTTACCCAAATGTTTCATTTTTTCCCCTCTATATATAAGTGAATACAGTAAATATAGAGAGGTAAATTTTTTCAGTCATCTTTCTGGAAGAAAGTTTTGCAATGCCTACACCTTTGTAGGGTTCACACTGATTTTCATTTAGCATTAACTGTGTCTTGTCAGTGCTTCTTTGGATTGTCAAGGCTTAAATGGAAAGGCTGGCCAAAACAAAAAGGATGTGGTAAAGAGAATGCAAGAATGTGTGACAAAGATGAGGTGAGCTAGGTGCCATTGTAATAGATGGAATGACTTGGTTGAGGGCCAGCGCTATACTAGGGGATACAGGGCAGAAAAATAATTCTGTGTATTGTCACAAATTTAATGTTTCTTGGCAATTCTTCTTCTTCGCGCTCATCAGCTGTAAGCACCGGCGGAAAATTCTGGTTGTTTGTCCACTTCTGGACTTTTAGTCTTTTTTCCAGAACCTGAGTGTTTCGTGTGCATCTATTTTATAGATATGACTCATTTGTTTTACATCTGTTGGTTCCTTGCATCAGTAACAGTCTGACTGTATTTCTGTCTCACCTTACCCTTGAGTGTTGAGCATCAGCCAGATCCTCTGGTCACTCCTTTCAGCACATTTTGCTAACTCACAGTGAACTTTTCTTCCGGTGCTATTAGAATATATGTATGTGGTAGGCACAATGCACCAGTTTGGCAGATACAGTGCTTAGCTGACAGAAACCTGGTCGCCAAAACTCCTGGACATTTTTACCTGCTCCCTGAATCATGTATTTTTTTAAATCAAAGTTCAGTTCATGTTTGTCTTCTTTTTCAGCATTCTGAGCCCTTGAAATTCATTGCTGCAGATATCACCTGCCTCCATTCATCTCTCTGGTTGGTCTTCTCTTACCAGTTTGTGACAGCAAGTGTTTGCAGGTCTGTCCGGACTTATCTCTCCATGGTCTTCTTGGTCTGCCTTGTGGTCTACGACCATTCATCTGCCTTGTGTATATAGTTTTTACTTCTCTGTCATCTGACATTCTTTCAATATGCCCCAACCATTTCAGTCTAATAGCTCTTATGATGCCAATGCTCAGTGGTAATTTAAACATTATGAATTTCGTTGTTGCTTCTCTCTCCATTCTCTGCTGTTTGTTTTGTTTTTCTGAGCGTTTGCAAAATTAATGTTTGCTTCTGAAAAGGGGTTAGCCCCAGAATTAGTTTTATTATCTTCTGTGTTTAACATTTTTTGGTCAGTATCCACTGTTATTGCCAGTTAGTTATTCGTATAAGCATAGATGGGTGTTAAAGTTTCTTACTATGGAAACAGCATTGTTGTTTTTGTGGCAGCTATTATTATTTTATGGAATGGCCGGCTGCAGCTCAAGGTATTTACTGATGAAATCACAAGATATTTAAAAACATACCAACTATTGGCAATTTTCTTTGTTTTGATTGCAGCTCCTAAACCTAGCAACAGATGGGGCCATACCATGTCTTTGGTTAAAAGCAAACTGGCTGTGCTTATTGGTGGTCAGGGAGAGAAACAGCTGAGCCGTGATTCCATTTGGATTCTGGATCCTGGTTGGTTGCCTAGGTTATATAAGTTAGTTGCGTAACCTTTACAGGACATTGCAGAACCAACCCCAGCATTTATGGCTGTTGTGGTTTTTCCAGGCAAATTTTATGTTTAGTAGTTTGCCATTCCTTTCTGCATGGTCAGCTCTCGGTACCACTGTCAAAACCAGCGCAAGACAAATCGTCCGCAGCAGGGATTGAACCCGGCATTATGAAGAGCATTTGCAGCGCCTGAGCCACAGACGCCGACTGAGGTTATATACAATTGTGTAAACAACATTTCATTTCATTGATACTGAGCTACCTTTTGTGAAGCCATTCAAGAAGTAGTACCTCCCGTCGTAATCAAAAGGTTAATAAAAATCAATAAACATATTGTTTAAACATCCAGCTTAATGCCTCATAGTAGTAGCAGCTGTGAGTTCAGTCTGCAGCATTTATAGTTTTTTAATAGATTATATTTAATTTGTTTAATAAGTAAAATTCTATAAATAAATGGTCCCAGATCATTTTCACAAAATGGGGGGGGGGGGGGGGGGGGGGGGTTACTGAACAAACCTCTGCCCAAAAAACAAAAAATGCACATTTGTGTCCAAGAAACAATCAGTTGAATTTTTGGCAGCTGGCGGAGCTCCAGTTGGGGGGGGGGGGGGCCAGGCCTGTACATTTCTTTTAATTTTCTGTGATTGAGATTTGTGTGTTTTTGTATGAGTTAAAGTCGAGAGGATTTACTTCATTGAATCGGGTTTTATCCCGTATGGCTCGGGCGCTCTCCGTAGAACTTCTAGCCGTCTGGTAAGAGCCGCACAGAGCACGAACCTCGTAGCTCTGGCTACGATTTCCAGGGATCTACGTAACAGCTGCACTCATGAACTAAAGGGCGCAGCCATGAAATGAACCCACGACCTTTACAGTGTGAGTCAAATGGCTTGGCGACCTCAGCACAGAGACCTCATTTTTGTAAGATCATTGGTTTAGTGTTCGCCTGTTTGAACGGTCTCTCTATTCTTTATTTTTTATTTTTTTTTATTGTATATGCTTTGTGAGACGTCAGCTCCTAACATTTTTAGCATATAGAAAATATTAGATTAAAATGTACACAGAGGGAAGTGTTAGCCCTTCAAAGTCAGAGGAGAGGAACCAACAGTCTGCATACACATTAGGGGTAAGGATCAGCATCTGTTCTCACCCTGACACAGAACACTCCAGTTTTTGAGCAAAATCACCAGAAGTGGACGAACAGCCAGAACTTTCCGGACTCTGAGTGCGATGAAAAAGACTGCACAGACCTGAATTGACTGTGACATATTTCAGAGATGGGGACATGGAAGTGTCCTGCTGTGACATATTTGCACAGACCTGATTTGACTGTGACATATTTCAGAGATGGGGACATGGAAGTATCCCGCTGCGACATATTTGCACAGACCTGAATTGACTGTGACATATTTCAGAGATGAGGACATGGAAGTGCCCCGCTGTGATATATTTCAGAGATGAGGACATGGAAGTGTCCCGCTGTGACATATTTCAGAGATGGGGACATGGAAAGATCCCGCTGTGACATATTTGCACATACCTTAATTGACTGTGACATATTTCAGAGATGAGGACATGGAAGTGTCCCACTGTGACAACAGAAGGCTCCAAGCCAGAGTTTAGAATCGGCCACAGTGCAACCTATGATCCAACTATGAGGTGTATCTACATTTATGGAGGATCTAAAAATGCCAAATGGTTTCATGATGTCTACATGTTTGACCTTGATGAAAACAAATGGACTCTTGTTAAGGTGAGTTCTATCTTGTTTGTGTTGATAGTTTTGATTTTTTGTTTGTGTAAAAAAGATGGAATAGGTCAGTTGTCATGTGACATTTTTGTCGTAGTGTAAACTTTGAAACTCTTAAAATATGTCTGCATTTTGTAGTGGTTGAAGAAGTTGAATGCTATTGTATATCACATGTAGCAGATGTATGTAGATAATACTGATATAATCTGTAGTAATAGTAAGGCTCCCCCATCAAGCCCTCTTATGGACTCAGTCAGGAAAACAGGGAAGACCAAGAGAGACCCTGTGTAGAACTATCATCAGGGATGGCGCAACTATGGGCCGAATGAAAATCCAAGACCTAAATCAGGTGGCAACAAACCTCCAGTCATGGAGAGCTATGACCTCTGCCCTATGCACCGCCTTACACTCAAGACGAAAGACTATTGCTAAGACGGCTTAGCCGTTGAACAGATGAAATTGGGTAGAGGGATGTTTAATATGTGTTTATTTTTCAGGCCAGTGGGAAGGCTCCTACTCGAGCCTACCATAGTACCACTTTGTACAGGCATGAACTGTGGATATTTGGTGGAGTGTTTCCAAGGCCAGATCCACAGCCGGATGGGTGTGACAATGAAGTGCACATCTTCAGTCCTGTCATGGAGAACTGGTACAGGCCTATTGTGACAGGAGAGAAGCCTCAGCCAAGATCTGGGTAACGAATGTTTGTTGTTTCAGTTACATATTTTAGGATGCCAAATGTGAAATATGACCTCAGTAACAAACAATTTTGTCCCTGAATGAATCATTCAAGAATTCTTCATTCATCTGAGTGGCATAATGCTTTGTGCATGTTTAGAGCATAGCTGCAATATTTGCACCAACATATGTGACATTCATTTGTTTTTGATTAGTTTCCGGTGACATTCTACAGCCTCATTTATGTGGTGGCTTCATCATTCGCTGATCCACAAGTGTAAAGGAGTAAAAAGGCTTCTATGAATTCTGAATATTAATCCAGAAAATATCTATCCCACAGTTGCAAATTAAAAAATATAGACTTTTCAAACCAACTCGAATGTATAGAGATACATAGTATGCCAGATAGAGGTATACATAGATATAAGGGACCATATACCCACCGGACGGGTCTAAATTTGAAATGTGACCTGCCTGCTAAGGGCGCCAATGTCACAAATATTCCAGTGTGCGGGATGATTCACTCCACGACAAGGACCATGTCTGCTTTATCATAGTTTCTCACCACCTGGAGGACCATGTCTGCTTTATCATAGTTACTCACCGCCTGGAGGACGTCTGCTTTATCATAGTTTTTCACCACATGGAGGACCATGTCTGCTTTATCATAGTTTCTCACCACATGGAGGACCATGTCTGCTTTATTATAGTTTCTCACCACATGGAGGACCATGTCTGCTTTATTATAGTTTCTCACCGCCTGGAGGACCATGTCTGCTTTATTATAGTTTCTCACCGCCTGGAGGACCATGTCTGCTTTATCATAGTTTCTCTCACAGCCTGGAGGATCATGTCTGCTTTATCATAGTTTCTCACTGCCTGGAAGACCATGTCTGCTTTATCATAGTTTCTCACCACATGGAGGACCATGTCTGCTTTATTATAGTTTCTCACCACATGGAGGACCATGTCTGCTTTATCATAGTTTCTCACCACATGGAGGACCATGTCTGCTTTATTATAGTTTCTCACTGCCTGGAGGACCATGTCTGCTTTATCATAGTTTCTCACCGTCTGGAGGACCATGTCTGCTTTATCATAGTTTCTCACCACCTGGAGGACCATGTCTGTACAGTTTTTACTGAGACCGATTGGGATCCTTGCTGGACCTATGGGGTTCGTGCCTTATGAGGAGCTTTCTGCATCCAACTAGCTGTTCTGCCGAGACTAAGTTATATGGGATAAAACCCTGTGCAGTAAAGCAGATTCTCTTGATCATAACTATAATGGTGTTCACCACATTGCCCACTGAGTGCCAGCTGGTCTATGTCAAATGATTCTGGCATCGTATACCCAGCGCACTAGTGGCAGGGAAAGAGTCCTTGACTTTACTGTGGAATGTGCTAGGCAAAGGTAAAGTCGGGAGATGTGAACCAGCGTCATTGCACACTGTTATAAACCAAAAGTACTCTGCCACCAGTACGGACAGCTGATAAGAAACTGTCCGACTGTGTCGCTGTCTGCACGCAACTCCTTAGCTACAGCGACGTTCCTCCATTTACCCCAGAGTGTTAACTCTGGTACCCATTACCTAGAGGCTGGGTGAACCACAGGAACTACCTGGCTTCAAACACCGGCCGTGGGCTGCAGCGAGTCGAAGCTAGATTTGAGAGCTGGCTTTGTGTGGTGCTGTTTTACATAATCAAACGTGATGATTTCTCTGTCTAGACACTCTGCAACACTGATCAATGATCTCCTAGTCATTTTTGGAGGATGGGACTTTCCATACTGCTACAATGATTTGTTTATTCTGGATTTGAGTAAGAAATATTTCTTTAATTTATATCTGATTTTGATTTAATATAATTGTTTTCTTTTATTAACTAATTACTGTTGTTTACAGTCAACATCTCGATGTGTGCTGCGGGGCCCAATTTGTGGATGGAAATGAAAGAATAGACCCAGTGCCCTCCAACAAGCATGTTGGATAACACCAATAGTAAATCAGATATGTTGTTTTAAAAGGCACAAATACTGCAGCCTAGCTTTAAACCACAACTCAGCGTTCCCACCGCCCTTTTAAGGGCAAATAAAAAAGTTTGCAGTAAGAGGCACATTTTTTTAATACAGTAATGTAATAATGTGCAAACTAAGCAGAAAACATCATGAAAATGTTTCCTGTTAAATACTAATTTTGGGCATAAATAATGTCTGCAGTGCCAATCTCCCTGTTGTCTCAAGTTTGTATGGTATGTGCTGTCAAACTGCTTCCTAATTAGACTTCAAGTGGTAGTTGATTGAACTTCATTCTTACAAAAAATGTTAACTTCTGTTTTTGTTGTCTCACTCCATGCCCTTATTTATATTTACTATTATATATTTCTTGGTTTTGTGTTGACCTTGGTTGTTTTCAAGCTCTGTTGTCTTGTCCTTTGAGTTTTCACGTCACTGTTTGTGTTGTATTCAGTACTCTGTTGATATGATCCAAATGTTCAGCAGTGTTTATGCGCATCTTTTCCATTTCCTCTGTTGAGCTTTCTAGTCACATTTATGTTATTTGTTATCACTTCTTGTCATCCGCTTGACTGTAGCTGCCCACTGTTTATGTCAACACCTTAGGTGTGCTGAATTAGGCTTATCTGTGTTGAATCATTGTCACTGACTCACAGAGCGTGTTGAGAAAGAGGGATACAACCATGCATCACTTCAAAGGTCCTGGGTAGTTTGCATCCTTTGGATATTTTCTCCAGGTCATGCCAGTGTGTTGGGAAATGAGAAGTCAAATAGACTGGCCGGTTCTGCACCACATGGTGGTGAACTGATGTATGACAAGCTGGATGTTGTGAGGGCTCTTTGGGAGAGTGAACAGTGCAGAGGCACAGATAGATCATTATGGTCTGAGGAGAAAGGTACTGCAAGGAGTTACAAGGGGATCTGCCTTACGCTCGACACACAGGGAAAAGGCGAGACGGATATACAGTCAGCCAATACTGGTACCATATGAATGTTAATTCTTCGCTTCCTGCTGAAGATGGGGACCGAGCGCTTATAGGGGTGTCCGATATAGGGGTGATGCCGATTCTTAATTCAACATTTTTAAAATCTGTGTTGATTTAATTTGTCCCTCAGTCTAGTCTGCATGACACTGATTTTATCATTTGTCTCTCAGTCTAGTCTGCATGACACTGATTTTATCATTTGTCCCTCAGTCTAGTCTGCATGACACTAATTTTATCATTTGTCTCTCAGTCTAGTCTGCATGACACTGATTTTATCATTTGTCTCTCAGTCTAGTCTGCATGACACTGATTTTATCATTTGTCCCTCAGTCTAGTCTGCATGACACTGATTTTATCATTTGTCCCTCAGTCTAGTCTGCATGACACTGATTTTATCATTTGTCCCTCAGTCTAGTCGGCATGACACTGATTTTATCATTTGTCCCTCAGTCTAGTCTGCATGACACTGATTTTATCATGTGTCCATTAGTCTAGTCTGCATGACACTGATTTTATCATTTGTCCCTCAGTCTAGTCTGCATGACACTGATTTTATCATTTGTCTCTGTCTAGTCTGCATGACACTGATTTTTATCATTTGTCTCTCAGTCTAGTCTGCATGACACTGATTTTATCATTTGTCTCTCAGTCTAGTCTGCATGACACTGATTTTGTCATTTGTCCCTCAGTCTAGTCTGCATGACACTGATTTTATCATTTGTCCCTCAGTCTAGTCTGCATGACACTGATTTTATCATTTGTCCCTCAGTCTAGTCTGCATGACACTGATTTTATCATTTGTCCCTCAGTCTAGTCTGCATGACACTGATTTTATCATTTGTCCCTCAGTCTAGTCTGCATGACACTGATTTTATCATTTGTCCCTCAGTCTAGTCTGCATGACACTGATTTTATCATTTGTCCCTCAGTCTAGTCTGCATGACACAGATTTTATCATTTGTCCCTCAGTCTAGTCTGCATGACACTGATTTTATCATCTGTCCCTCAGTCTAGTCTGCATGACACTGATTTTATTATTTGTCCCTCAGTCTAGTCTGCATGACACTGATTTTATCATTTGTCTCTCAGTCTAGTCTGCATGACACTGATTTTATCATTTGTCTCTCAGTCTAGTCTGCATGACACTGATTTTATCATTTGTCTCTCAGTCTAGTCTGCATGACACTGATTTTATCATTTGTCCCTCAGTCTAGTCTGCATGACACTGATTTTATCATTTGTCCCTCAGTCTAGTCTGCATGACACTGATTTTATCATTTGTCCCTCAGTCTAGTCTGCATGACACAGATTTTATCATTTGTCCCTCAGTCTAGTCTGCATGACACAGATTTTATCATTTGTCCCTCAGTCTAGTCTGCATGACACTGATTTTATCATCTGTCCCTCAGTCTAGTCTGCATGACACTGATTTTATCATTTGTCCCTCAGTCTAGTCTGCATGACACTGATTTTATCATTTGTCCCTCAGTCTAGTCTGCATGACACTGATTTTATCATTTGTCTCCAGCCTGTATAAATGTTTTGTTTTCACCTGTGTAACAAATCTATTGTTCTGCAGCCACTGTGGACTGGTCAGCACCTAAAGTTCTTGGGAAAGCACCTAAACCAAGAAGGTATTATTTTGTACATAGAGAAAAAAAAATTGTTGGTTTTTTGTGAGGAATAAAAACTTGTTCGCATTCGATCTCCACAAAACATATATTTTATCATTGTTTTGTTACCATCACATGGTTGATTGCCTCACCTTTGTAAAAAGAAAATCCAGCCACAGTGACTATTAAATTTTAACGTCATGATTTCTTGATTCTGTAGACTGGCTCCAAGCCAGCAAGCTGACTTTTCTGTGTGTGTCTATTTCTTAGTTTGACCACAAACTTTTATCAAACATTTATCTTTAAAATGTCACCTTGTCTGAAAGCTTCATGCAGAGATTTTTTGGTTGTGTAGACTAACTCCAAAAATAAAGTTGACTATCATGTGTTTGTGTCTTTTCCTCTCTCTCTGGCACTGGTACTCTGAAAAACGAGTGCTTAGAAGGGCCAAATATCAGACGGGCCTGCGTGCCCAATTTGTAACCCTTTGAAAATAAAGTTTGTTCGTTCGTTCGTTCTCTCTCTCTCTCAAAACAAAACTGATATGCAGTGAGCTGCAAAATACCTGCTGTAACATGACAGAATGCAAAGCAAGATGACAATAATAAATTTGAACAGTGCAGATTGTTTAATGAATGACCTAGATGTGCAGGTCAGTCCAGCCTTATATGGTTACTAGGTAATATCCTTGAAACTGACGATGCCTGATGGGATGTTGTTGGCCACACCCATTGATTATTTTGTTGATTGGTCTATTCAAGAGTAGTCTGGCATCTGCCCGATGCAGCACTAACTACTTACTAACAATTGACAAGACATTACAACAAGAACAAATACAGAGTTGGCTTTGTGGATGTTCTTCTTCAATCACCGGCTGTAAACTCTGTGGATAGTTCTGATTGTTCATCCACCTCACGACTTTAGACTTGTTTCAGAACCTGAGGATTGCATGCACATCCGTTGTACAGATTTGACTTTTTTTGTATACAGACTGTTGGTTCCTTGCCTCCCAGGCAGATGCATTCTGACTTTGAAGGAAACCCCTAACTAATCGACTCTTACGACATGCTTGTTGGGGAGGCAGTGGGTCTGTTCTTGTTTTCCCCACAAGGGGACCCCAAAACCCACATGGGGAATTATGGTTGTGGAGTTACAAAGTCTTCTTCAGCAAATTAACACAAAAACTGCAAGCAGACACTAAAACTAAATGGTGTTGCAGCTTGCGCAGAAGAAAGCTTGAATGTTGGAAGAAGCCTTTAAGAGGTTTACAAAAGCTGTTGTAAAATGTATGGACAGTTCTAAGACAGAATTTGACAGAGGGTATTGCAGAGTATTTACATATTTAATTAAATGTTTGTTCACTTATTAGCACCACATTGGCTGGCCGGTAGAAGACTTCATTGCTGGTCGGAACAGTATTTGGGTCTGTCTCCTGTGATCATATTAACACTACAAGAGTTTCTTTTAGAGCTACTTGGTGGCGAGAAATGCTAAGCCGTTTTAAATAGCACACAACCTAGTCACAATTATAATCTAAAGTTCCTCCTTCAGGGATGCTGGTTGAACATGACAATTTTATTTTAGCAAAACAACAAAAGTTATTAACATGGGGGAGGGGGGCTGCGTGGTCTCGAGGCATGGTGTCCACCTCGAGTGCTAGAGGTTCCGGGTTGAATCCCCAGTAAGGGTTGGGATTTTTTTCACGTGAATTTGGACTTCTAGTAATTCCCTCTGGGTAGTGAGATCGGACGCCCCGTGTGCATTGTTGTGCATGTAAACAAAATTCCTTGGCAGTTGGAAATCTAAAAAAGAAGCCTGATGGCGCTACCTGGGCAAAATTTAGAGTTAAAAATCTACCCAAAGTATTTCAGGATCCTCGCCGGTGCTACAGAGCCTGTGCACTATGCTGAGCTTCTTCGGACTCAGACTTGAGTTAGAACAAGTACGGAGCACTTATGGGTTACTTCCTGTGTGCCATGATGTTGATCCGTTGTTCAAAACCGCAGTTATTAGCACACTGGTTAGTAAGAACATCTTAGTTCTGTATTCCATATCTGTGTTTTAACAGGGCTGCAACTGCTTCTACTGGCTGATGTCTTAACAATTCATTATGTGCCAGGTAGCTTCTTCCCATTAACATTAAAGAAAAGTAAAATATTGTTGGTATTAAGTTTGTCAAATTATTGTTGCAGCTGGCATGCTTCCTGTGCACTGTCTAATAACCGGATTTTCATCCATGGTGGATATGACGGGGATAATGCTCTCCATGATGCCTTTATATTTGATCTGGGTAATGATTGTGGTGTCACTAGCAGCATATTGCCTCATCAGTCTACTTCTACTGCCTCATCAATTTACTTCTACTGCCTCATCAGTCTACTTCTACTGCCTCATCAATTTACTTCTACTGCCTCATCAGTCTACTTCTACTGCCTCATCAATTTACTTCTACTGCCTCATCAGTCTACTTCTACTGCCTCATCAATTTACTTCTACTGCCTCATCAGTCTACTTCTACTGCTTCATCAATTTACTTCTACTGCCTCATCAGTCTACTTCTACTGCCTCATCAGTCTGCTTCTGCCAGTTAGTTTAGACTCAAGCTCTATCATGCCTGTAGTCTTAAAAAATAAATAGCAGATTGAAAATATTTTAAGGAAAGATTAGGATTAATGAAAATTTTTATTGCTTGTGAAATGCGCTGTTTCCACAAGGTCACTAATAACACAAGAAGAGACGGGGTTATGAATACCAGCATTAGAGAGAAAGTTAGAATAAGACAGTGTCAGAATTATATTGACAGACAAAGAATGAAATGGTTCAGCTGTCTAGTGAGAATGCAGCCAGGCCAAACTGGATGGATGTGAGACTTTTTACAGTAGAACATCTGGGTAGAAGGTGAGGGGAAAGACAAAGAAAGAGATGGATAAATAGTGTAGCTGAAACCTGCAAAAAAAAAATTTAAACAAATCTGTCACCCAAGAAACGCAAGACAAATCCAGAAAACCATGACACTGGGCTGCAGCCTGGTATCAGTGGGATGACAAAACCATGACACTGGGCTACAGCCTGGTATCAGTGAGATGACAAAACCATGACACTGGGCTGCAGCCTGGTATCAGTGGGATGACAAAACCATGACACTGGGCTGCAGCCTGGTATCAGTGGGATGACACTGGCCTGCAGCCTGATATCAGTGAGATGACAAAACCATGACACTGGGCTGCAGCCTGGTATCAGTGGGATGACACTGGGCTACAGCCTGGTATCAGTGGGATGACGAAACCATGACACTGGCCTGCAGCCTGATATCAGTGAGATGACAAAACCATGACACTGGGCTGCAGCCTGGTATCAGTGGGATGACACTGGCCTGCAGCCTGATATCAGTGAGATGACAAAACCATGACACTGGGCTGCAGCCTGGTATCAGTGGGATGACACTGGCCTGCAGCCTGATATCAGTGAGATGACAAAACCATGACACTGGGCTGCAGCCTGGTATCAGTGGGATGACACTGGGCTACAGCCTGGTATCAGTGGGATGACGAAACCATGACACTGGCCTGCAGCCTGATATCAGTGAGATGACAAAACCATGACACTGGGCTGCAGCCTGGTATCAGTGGGATGACACTGGCCTGCAGCCTGATATCAGTGAGATGACAAAACCATGACACTGGGCTGCAGCCTGGTATCAGTGGGATGACACTGGGCTACAGCCTGGTATCAGTGAGATGACGAAACCATGACACTGGCCTGCAGCCTGATATCAGTGAGATGACAAAACCATGACACTGGGCTGCAGCCTGGTATCAGTGGGATGACACTGGCCTGCAGCCTGATATCAGTGAGATGACAAAACCATGACACTGGGCTGCAGCCTGGTATCAGTGGGATGACACTGGGCTACAGCCTGGTATCAGTGAGATGACAAAACCATGACGCTGGGCTGCAGCCTGGTATCAGTGGGATGACAAAACCATGACACTGGGCTTCAGCCTGGTATCAGTGAGATGACAAAAACATGATACTGGCCTGCAGCTTGGTATCAGTGAGATGACAAAACCATGACACTGGGCTGCAGCCTCGTATCAGTGGGATGACAAAACCATGACACTGGGCTGCAGCCTGGTATCAGTGCAATGACAAAAAGAGAAGATGTGTATGTCCAAGACCATAGTTAGCAAGCATTTAAATTGTTGTGTGATTGCTTCTCAGTCCTCTGAGAGACTTAGTTTTAATGTAAAAGTAAAGGTCCCTTTTCCATGCCTTTAGGCATATAGGGCTAGACCAATATTTTATAGACCAATTGGCACAAGATGGGTGATGTGGTCAGCATCAAGGTCATTTTTAAAAACAGTCCGTCTCCGCCAAGGAGCAAATCTATGGCCTTCCCATCCTCAAGCGAGGGTCTAGCCACTACGCCACGGCAACTCCCTGAGTTTTAATGAGGTCCAGTTTTTCTAAGAACTTTCATAATGTGTATATGTAATTTAATGTATCATGGTTGAATTTATCTCATTTTTTCCTGACCCCATTTGTATCTTTTTTTTTTTTTTATTGAATGATTGTTAAATTTTCCCTTTTTAATGTCTATCTTTCAGACGGTAAATCCTGGCAGAATATATCCTTAGAGAATGCCCCATCAGCCAGAGCAGGACATGCCTGTTTGCGTCTACCCTCAGACTATGAAAACAAAGAGGAAGATGAGATCATTGTCTTTGGGGGAGGTGACAATGATGGTAGTTACTACAATGACATGCTATCATTTTATGTCCCCTTCAACCCCCAGATCCTGGATACTTGTGAATAATATATACATGGTTTTGCTTGCTGCCATTTTGTTGCTTGTAAAGAATATTTAGAGTAGTTTGTTCATAATACTCACTGTCAGTATAGTACTGCATATATTTATGATGGAGTGGCATACATATGGGGCTATGTTACCCTTTCTGTGACATATATATTTGCTTCTCATCTCATCATTCCTTCAGTAATCCTGTTAGGAGTTTCTGTTGCTTTGTCTGGTACAGGTAGGAGTTTCTGTTGCTTTGTCTGGTACAGGTAGGAGTTTCTATTGCTTTGTCTGTTACAGGTAGGAGTTTCTGTTGCTTTGTCTGGTACAGGTAGGAGTTTCTATTGCTTTGTCTGTTACAGGTAGGAGTTTCTGTTGCTTTGTCTGGTACAGGTAGGAGTTTCTGTTGCTTTGTCTGTTACAGGTAGGAGTTTCTGTTGCTTTGTCTTATTAATTTCCAGTTTTTTTTAACTCTTGCCAATCAAACATGTTATGGTTGAAATTGGAGTTGTATACCCTGGACTGATAAAAAGAGTAATAAAGATGTCTTGAAGGAAACAGTCTCACGAAGAGAACTGATTGCCACATCAGAAAGAGACAATGTACATTCTTTGGCCATGTGACAAGAACATCGTGACAGTAGGAAAGTTGGAGGGAGACCAAGAGAAATTATGCTGAATAGTTTGACATCATGGCATCGAGGATCTTCTGTGTCAGAGTTGATTAAAAGTACACAAGATAGATGCGGATAGATGTTACTACCAAATCCACATAGCATGGACTTTTTATAGAAGTAGTTGAAACTCTATAACAGTAAAGTTAAAGAGCTGTGACTGCACAATGATTAATACGTGGTGGCATGTCAAAACTTGTTCTAAATAAACCTCTAAGAAACATATTTGTATTTGATCCCGATCAGCTGTGGAGTTAGCCAACATGAAACGTACCAAAATCTACCTGGACACGCAGCAGCCAGCACAAAATGCTGATAGTAATAGCCTTAAAGTGCCTTTCTGTGGTGACAGTTACTGGCCTAACCCAAGCTGCCCTTAACCTGTCATCTGCAGAAAGCCGTTTTCTTTGACATTTATGGGTTTTGTTGACATGAAGTTTTGGGGCAGTGGCCACTACATCTATATAACAGCTTTGGTACGACTGCAACTGTATAATGTGTGCATGTGCTGTGCAAGATTATATTTACAAATAAATAAGCTTAGTTTTTAGTCTTTCCTCTTGAACCTAGGGCAGAGGTCATAGCTCCCCATGTCTGTTGGTTCACTGCCACCTGTTTTAGGTCTTGGATATTTATTAAGCCCATGATTAAGCCTTCCCTGATGATGTTCTATGCACGGTCTCTCTTGGTCCTCCCCATTTTCTTTTCCCTTCCTGTGTCCAAATGAGGGCTGCATGGGGAAGTCTGGTCATTTAGAGTGCATGGCCGATGTAGTTCCAGCAGTGCTTTCTTGTAAAATTAGATACATTATCTTGCTCGGTCTCTTGTCTTATTTGCATATTGGGTCTGAAATCTGTCCAGATATTTGGGTTATACAAATGTGCTTTTTTTAAAATTGCAACGTCATTGTCACATCATAATCTCATAATGATGTTACTTTGCTCCTGCGGCTAATCAACAAAAACACATTTATTATGTTCAGTGTGGGAGGACAGTAGTTAATTCTTTGCTTCATCCTTACTGACTGATTTATCCCTTAACTTAAACAGATTATTTTGCTCATAGAAGTGAATTTTTAAATAAAAAATAATGGGAATTATTTTTGTGATTTGGTGGTCGCAGTGGCCCTCTTGCTTGCCTGTCTGGTCTGTGGAAATGGGTTTGAACCCCTGACTTGTTTTGAAAAGGGGTCAAGAGTCCAGATTTCTTCTTATTTCTAGGATAGAGCTTCAGGGGATTATAAGGATTTTTTTTTTTTTTTTTTTTTTAAATGAAATTGTGAAACAGATAATTTTTTTAAACATTCTTATGGGGCAAAATGGGTAACTCAGTAATTTTCATAAGACAGGCATTGACATGTTTTAAATTGGTAGATAATAAATATAAAATTGACTAATTCACTCACATATGACAAGAAGTAAATGTGCTCACTGGCGACCCGGTCATCCATTGGCTGGCCGGTAGACAACTTCGTCACCGAGTGAGGACAGTATTTGGGTCTGAAATATTTTGGTCATATCAATCACCATGGCGGAGTGAAGAAAAGAAGGCATGGTACCAGGAAGGAGGGGCAGGGTGGGCCAACACAAAGGTGGTACAGGATTTAAGTGACTCCTTAGACAACCAAGCTGTTTGTACATTTGCTTTTATATGAATGTGTGCCTAATGTGTGATTTTGATTAAATATCTCAAATACACTTGGCGTTATTTATGATTTCTGCCAGATGTGTCCTAAGGTCTCTTCCTTCTGTACTCCCCCTTTCCCTCTCTCTTTTTCTCACACACACACTTTAGGGGGGGGAGGCACTGTATAAAACACTGTATTATCTGAATCTCAGTTGTTTCATGCTACTGATGGATTATATCCACTTCATGAAGTTCAGAGTGGGCTTAAGCACCAACTCATCTATGTACCATATGCAGAACCAAGGTCTTATTTGACATTTGTAGCTACCAATTCATACAGTTTGCATTTTTGTTTCAATTGCTAGCGCTTAGAGATTGAGCAGTCAAGGTTCATAATTTATCGTTTAAAAAAAATGGCATCACCTTGTCTGCTCCTATCTTGTCCATATCTTATATCTGTTGGGTGTGCTGGGCTCGCCCAATTTGTAAATAGACCAATCGGCACTCGTTGGATAATGGTAAATGTGACATGGGGTGGTTACAATGCATAGACACTTCTCTTCTACAGGTACTAAGAGGTTGTGCTGTCTGGATCATGCCATCTGATATGTTGGCCTAATTCCCCCAGATAAATCCTGGTACACCTGATAGGCCGGCTCAGCATATTCTTCTGCATTTACCTTTAAAATGGTGGTTGATGCATCTTGTGGTTTTACAGCTAGGCTGCAGCACTGGTACTTCTCAGCCCAAGTCATTTGATTTGATTCAAAAACCGACATCACAGCACTTGGGGCATTACCATAAGCGCTCCGTCCCCATCTTCAGCAGCCAGCGAAGAGTTCCGATACTAATGGTGCCAGTAGCATTCTGATTAAACGTCCGTCTTGCCTTTCCTCTGAGCCTCGAGCATCTGCCAGAACTTCTCCTCACCCCCAGCTGCATCAATCTCACCAGACTGGTGATCCATCTGCTCCTCCGATTGTAGCTATCCTCTAGTTAGTTACCTTTTACAGTATACTTATTGGGAGGCCGTGCGTTTGTTAATGTTTGCCCACAAAATGGGGCTCTGGAACCCACACATGGACTTGCTCAATATAGGGGCCACGGTCATCAGTTCTTTCCCCTTCTTTTTATTAAAGGCACAAAAATTAAAGATGATGCTTTTCGGAACTTAGGCTGCACATTCTCAATCACATAGATTATGAACTCTGTTGGCCATCTCCTAGAGCCTGCTACTGAAAAAGTGTGCACAGTTGATCGAAAATAAATCCTCATTACGCATTGGACAAGTCCATAATTCAGAATATCCCTCAGCGTCTGGCGACTGACAACACCAGTTCTGTTTAGTGCACACACTATGAAGCTACATGAGTGTGTTGGTATGATAATGAAACAAACATTCCACTAGTGTGAAGGTGAAACATTCCTGCGTTGTCTTTAGTGCACACACTATGAAGCTACATGAGTGTGTTGGTATGATAATGAAACAAACATTCCACTAGTGTCAAGGTGAAACATTCCACTAGTGTCAAGGTGAAACATTCCTGCGTTGTCTTTATTGCACACACTATAAAGCTACATGAGTGTGTACTTGTGTGAAGGTGAAACATTCCTGCGTTGTCGACAGGCTAAAGATACTGCAGTGTTGTTACATTCTCAAAGTGACAGCAGACACAAATGGTCCCCCTCCACAAAGCCCTGGATGCAGATGAGGCTCACTGGTCAGAAAGTTTTGTGTTGACCAACCAACAATATGGAGGTGACAATGTAACTGATTCACAATTCTTGTTTGTGTCATGTGATTACCCAAACATTTGTTTTATGAGGGTGGAGGTGCATGAACGTTAGTGACAAAACTCAATGAACGACGTTCAGTACAGAAAAGCCTGACATGTTACCGTAACATCCACTTTGAGAACAGGTTGAGGCGGTCGCTGCATATGGCTGTTGGTTAGAGGGCCAGCTGCACTGACTTGCCATTTGACCAATAAAGAGTGCTGAGACAGGTGAAGACAGACAAGTTTCACACAGCGGGCATGTCTCAATTTGTGAACAGTCCTTTGGGCCTTTTCTTCAGGGATCTCAGTGTTAGGAAAGAGAAAGAATGACATTATCATGTTTATTGCAAATAGATTAGTGGACTGAGGCATCATAAAACAAATTTAAAGACACTGGAAGCACGTAAATAATATAGAAAGGCAAACAGGCTACCATGGTAGGGAAATATTGCAAAAGGGAAGCAGCCAGATGATCTGACCGACACTAAATGTGACTTAGTGTATGTACTCAAGGACATTCAGACTCACTTTATCAGACAGGCATAGATTGTTTTCCTAAGAGTACATGTAACCTGTATCTTTGTGGGTGATCGTAAGGGTGTTCGAGACAATGAGCCTGCAGATTATATGATGGACGTTGCTGCTGTGAGTTAGCATTGGACGGGAGCGATATCATTATTGCTATGTTCCCTGTGTGGGTTCCTGGGCCCCATTGTAGGGAAAACAAGAATAGACCCACTGCCTTCCCATCTAACATGTTGTAAGAGTTGATTGACGATGGCTTTGAAGTCGGCGTGCATCTGCCTGAGAGGCAAAGAACCAACAGTCTGCATACAAAAAGAGTTGGATCTGTAAAACTGATGTGCATGCAGTCAAGTTATGGAATAAAATACTAAATTTTAGAACATTCCTTTGGAGTTTACAGCCGGTGAAAGCAAAGAAGAAGAAGATTAATACTATATGATATGCAAATTGCAAAGATGATTACAGCAATCATGACTTTGTACATATCTGTTGCTGGCATCTTTCCATGTCTCCAGATAATAGTGTTATATTGCGCAATGAGGATACTTACAGCCCATGGCACTGGTGAGTGTGACTTAATGCAAAATATTCTGAGGCAAAGCATGTGAAAGCTATTTAGCCATTTCTCCTGGTGCGAATAAGTTTCACTGCCATAATTTAGAGTGCTGAGACTCACGAGCAGCAGCTACCGCATCTCCTGCAGCTTCCTTCATTTTATTTGCTCGTGAGTCCCAGCCATCTAGTTTAGCCCCAATCCACGTGGGAGATACTCTCGACGGTGGAGGAAGTCCGCAATTGACATGTGACTGAGGCCCTGTTAGGGTATATTTTCGGCCTTGATAATTTGGAAAGATAGGCCCAAACATTTTTATTCGTATGGATTGTTTCAGTTGTTCTTCATGTTTCAGCCTCATATAGTAGTAGTAATTTGACATCAGAGTTAGATTTTTTAAGCATAATTTTAGTTTTTAATATCCTTTAACTTCCAGAGATTTTTAAATCTATGAAAACTCCTCTTGACTTTGTGTTCGTATTTTAAAATTTTCTCAGTTTTCCTGTCTATTTATATTACTAAAAGGTTATATGACTATATTTTGGAGTGGGGAATCACCAAAAGAAATCAGATATTTCCTGGTTTAATCTCGTTTATCTTAGTCTCATATGGACTTGTATGCTTCATTCTTATGATTTCTTTCTTATCAAGCTTGTTGATTTATCTTGCATATGATTTCGTGAGCAGCATCACAGAGAAGGGTAGTTCACAAACTCTGGATAATCAAACTGTTCTGTAGGGGTCCACTGATTTACACACCACGCTGAAGGTATTGCTGTTTCCAGTCTATTTCCGGTAAAAATAATGGAGGTAACAAAAGACTTCCCCTTCTCAGACATTGTTCTTATTTCAAGCGTATCTGTTAGTTTTCCCCCACAAATAACTCGGCATTCCATGTCTTTTTTTTTTCTTTACTAAGTTTATAAGTTTCAATGGGATCCACTAGGGCTTCCTTAGATTCCAATGAAACTCCAGTTCCGCCAAAGGTGTTCCATTTTCATCGTCAGTCTGTAAATCCAAAATAAAGTGGTGAATTCATTTCAATACTTTGCACTTATATTATGCGCAGTGTGACTATCTGGCCAGCAGAGAGAATTTGACGATCTATTTACCCTGATAATAAACAGCATCCTTATAATTTAAACCTAAATATTTCGTTATATTAAAAGGTAATAGTTTTGGAGAGCAGTAATGGAGGTAGAAATGAGACATATGAGAAGGGTTGCAAACGTGAGCAGAAGAGATCAAATCAGAAATGAGGTCATAAGAGAAAAAGACAGCACAGTTCTGAATTACATACAAAGGCAGCAGCAGATCAAGAAATTGGTTTGCCAGCTTAAAGAGAATGCCTTGTGAAGCCATGCCATACAAGACATCCCTCAAAAGAGAAGGACGCAGCGCACAAGCCGTACAAAAACAAGATGGAATGATAACGTCAGAGAAACATAATGTGTCTATGGTCGAGGCTGACATTTATTCAACGGATTAACATTATGGAAACGGGTGTAACCCATAAGTGCTCCGTTATACTTCTAACTCAAGCCTGGGTCTAAAGAATCTCTGCGCAATGCACAAACTCCGTTGTACCGGCAAGGATCCTGAAATACTTTGGGTAGATTTTTAACTCTTAATTTTTGCTCGGACAGCGCCGTTAGGCCACTCTTTTTATTATTTCCAACTGCCAAGGTATTTTTTCCGTGTGCAACAGTACATACTGGTGTCGGGTCTTACTACCCAGAGACCAGGGGAAATTACCTGAAAACCACGTGAAAAAATCCCAGCCTTCACAGGGGGTTTGAACCCGGCACGGCCTTCTCTATTTAAATATACAGGCGGACCTGGAACCCGGAACGTCCAGCACTTGAGGCCGACCCCATACCCCGAGATCAATCAGCCCACCGCTACTATCACGGGTGGGGTTCGAACCTACGCGGCAATGCATCCGTTGGATCTTAAGTTCAACGCCTTAACCATCGTGTATTCTAACGGTCCCTTCTCGTGTTGTTAGCGACCTTGCATTTCTACATTTCACGTGTAGTTATTTTCTGTTTTAGCGCCCTATTCATTGTCATTGTTCGGCATGAAGTAGAAGATACTAATAATCATTTGTTGTTTTGCTGGAAGTGAGACATTTTGGTGTCTTAGTAGTGGGGCTAACTGGTAGATAACAGCGTGTGCCTTCTGTACTCTGGCCTCTATTTCTCTATCGAGTCTGTCACTCTCTGTAAGTATGTTTCCTAGATATTTACATTCTCGTGCCTGTTAGATTGTAGTACCATTAAATGAACGTTCATATTAGGCCTATTATGTTTCCTGCCTATTCTCACTACCTAGATTTCACGATGTTTATTTTCATATAAATACTTCGAGCAGGTTTATTGCAAGGAGTCAATATGAGGTTGTCAGTTCTATTCTTGCTGTTGTATTAAGACATTGATCGCCTGAAAAAAAGTTCAATGATTTCTTCACTGTCTGTATTTGCCTTCTGTGTAATTCTCCCAAAGAGCTTTTCTCCAGCAGGTGAACGCGAGAGAAAAAGGAAAAAGAAGAAGAAGCTACGCTATGACGATGAATACGTGTTTGGCTGCTTGCTTTAGCAATGAATTCCAGAGAAATTTGACTAAAAAGCTCAACAAAATGGGAAAGAGGAAAACGTGCACAAAACAACACAACGTAACGTTTCGGCCAGGCAGCCTTTTTCAAACACAAGTGGACTACACAAACGAGGAATGGAGAGTATGTAGATCTCTAAGGGGTGACGTGAGCGACGTCGCGTTGTGTTGTTTTGTGCACGTTTTTCTCTTTCCCATTTTGTTGAGCTTTTTAGTCAAATTTCTCTGGAATTCATTGTATTAGCTTGACTGCAGTCACCCCCATAGTTTCACCATTTTTGGATTTTGCTTTAGCAAACACGTGGCACACTTCCGGTTATTTCTCTTTTTTTCCCTACATTCAAAAAGAGTTCTTGTTTCTTTGGGAAGTCGTTTGTTTATCGAAATATATTGCAAACAAAATGCTTGTTCACATCGTTCATTGTTCTTTGTATGTCACAAGAGAAATACAGGACGAGTCAGTAAACGTGGATGACTTGTTCAGTTACATTTCTATAAAGGTTTGTAAAACTATTATATTCAAATTTTCGGTGCTGTTTGAGAAGACTGTTGATTGTGTGTCATTCCTGTGATTGTGTGCTGGCCTGGATCCTGACCTGTGACTGTGATTGACTGTGATACAGTAGTTTAGTTAGTATGATGTATATAGTTAGTTATAGTAATAGTAGCAGTGATAGTGATAACGGATAGTCAGAGTTTGATGTGCACTTGGTACATCAGCTTGCTGCCTTTTATATTGCTTTAATTTGAGGAAATAAGTATTGTATTTTATTTGTATTTTGGTGGATAGGATAGAAATAGAAATGAAAATGAACTGACAAAATAAAAACCAACCATAGACTTGAGCCTTACTGGCCTTCGCCTTCATACAGTTGGTAGGTACTTTGGTCAAATTTTCAAAATGCTCTTATACTTAAAACCAGCAGTTAGATAGCATTGGTTACAGTTACATAGTCCGTTTGTTGATAAGGCGTGATATTAATTTGTGATTGAAGTTGACGTTAAGCGATTATGATTAATACCAGCTGACCCAAAGAGTCCCTGTTCGATGGAAATTTCCTATGTACTAATCGCAGAAACCCGTCCAACCACGTTAAATTGGGGCCCCTGACTACTGACTGACTGTTGAAAAAAAAATGTAATCTTATCTGAAGTCCAGTCAGTTGGAGGGGGGGGGGGGTGGGTGAGGGTGAGCGTTAAGTAAATACATTAATATTTTATTTCCAATTGACAATTGTGTATACTCAGTATACATTTTAAGGCTCTCCTTTGAATCAACCCCCAAAATGGCGGCATGCCACATTCTGGCCATAAAATATCCAAAAATATCAGAACGACGGCGTTCGCATACATCTAAAATACAGACGTTCTGCCAAGGAACAAATCACGGCAAAACTAGGATTACTTGACAATCATTATCAACATTTGCACACGGTAGTAGCAGACGATGAATACCGACCGTTGACCAATTTTGAGACATTACAGACGATGACAGCTGATTAGCAATACTGTGTTTTTCCGATTGGAGGATTTAGCAGTGGTAGATGTCAGACTTGTCGGCATTCGCCAAACACGTTTAAACTCATCGCCGAGCTTTTCCGCTGCTACGTGCGGCGCGGATGGGTGGCTAAATTAGGTGCCTGGGACTCACGAGTACAGTAATTAGAGGAAGTTGCAGGAGATGCGGTAGCTGTCTCTCATGAGTCCCAGCCATCTAGTTTAGTCCCCATCCGCGCGTAGCGGCATGGGGGATTCACTCGGCGGTGAGGCACACTCGCAGAAGCAGGTCGGCAAGTAACGTATCACCGAGACCCTGTCAGAGCATTTGTTTCGCTATCCGGAGCCGGCACATATATTTTTAATAGAACTGACCCGCATTCGGATATTTTACGGCAAGAAATTGGCCAATTTAGCTCTTTCGAACGCTATCATATTAAAGCTGCCATTTTAGGGGTTCATTCAAAGGAGGGCCCATTTTTAAATATAATGTATATATTTTTAGACAAATACTGCTTCTAGAATAAAATTAATCATTATTATTTTTTTTTAAAACTTATTATTATTATATCAGTGTCAATTTCTTGTTAGTTAATGGTCTTAGTTCAGTCCCAAGCTAAAGCAATCTACTTTTCTTGGAATTAACCCAGCTTCCATCACAAAAATGGGTTTGGACAGTGTTCAGAATTTGGGGAAAAGGGAGTAGGGGGTGAGAAAGTGACCTGGCCACCCTGCCTGTTATAATAACATATACTGAACTTACCTGACTGACCTTTGTAAATATATATATAATATATATATATAGTCAGTATTCTACTCTTAAAGTCTGTATCTTGGTTTACATATTCCACCATTATCATCATCATTGTCACGTAGTGCCTTTGTATGTCACATAGGGCTCAGTCTTTTTCACCATTCCATTATATATCTTTTCCTGATCCTAAATCCTATTAAGTAAATCTTAACCAAGTGTTAACTTTGTATTTTCAGAATGTTGACAGGTCATCTGTGTTTACTCTTTGCAATGGTAGAAAAGTTGCAGCAGATGACAAATTGGAAAATGGAAAGACTTACCACATTGTCCCAAGACTACCAGGAGGCAAAGGCGGTATGTTTAGAAACTCCACCTCTTCAACACAGTTGTTCATTATGACTACAACACTTTCCTTTTATTCTAAAAACTTACAGTTCCAGACAGTTCTGGATGTTATTTCTAAATACTCTGAACATTGGGACATCTGGATGTTATTTCTAAATACTCTGACCATTGTGACATCTGGATGTTATTTCTAAATACTCTGACCATTGTGACATCTGGATGTTATTTCTAAATACTCTGACCATTGTGACATCTGGATGTTATTTCTAAATACTCTGACCATTGTGACATCTGGATGTTATTTCTAAATACTCTGAACATTGGGACATCTGGATGTTATTTCTAAATACTCTGAACATTGGGACATCTGGATGTTATTTCTAAATACTCTGACCATTGTGACATCTGGATGTTATTTCTAAATACTCTGACCATTGTGACATCTGGATTGTGACATCTGGATGTTATTTCTAAATACTCTGAACATTGGGACATCTGGATGTTATTTCTAAATACTCTGACCATTGTGACATCTGGATGTTATTTCTAAATACTCTGACCAGTGTGACATCTGGATGTTATTTCTAAATACTCTGACCATTGTGACATCTGGATGTTATTTCTAAATACTCTGACCATTGTGACATCTGGATGTTATTTCTAAATACTCTGACCATTGTGACATCTGGATGTTATTTCTAAATACTCTGACCATTGTGACATCTGGATGTTATTTCTAAATACTCTGAACATTGGGACATCTGGATGTTATTTCTAAATACTCTGAACATTGGGACATCTGGATGTTATTTCTAAATACTCTGAACATTGTGACATCTGGATGTTATTTCTATATACTCTGAACATTGTGACATCTGGATGAATTATTATGAGTTAAACCTTCTTTGCTGTTATGTTTATGACACTAGAACATTGTTTCACAACTCATCTTTATTGCAAGGATGTGGAGATTTTACTTCCAGTTTACTTTGTATTTTTAAATGTAAATGTTTAACTTGATGTAATTAAACATCTTCTGATCCTTACCAGGACACAGTTTACTGTTAAAAACGGCTGATTGGCTTAAAGTACAATCCCTTGTGTGTTAAGGTGACTTGTTGTGCCTTTGATGTTTGGTGTGGAGTTGATAGACATTAGAATGTCTAAATGCCATCTGTGGCAGAAAGATGACCAACCAAGGCTTACTCCTAGCCAGTATCTGCTGTGACTTGGTTCTGTGATAAAATGCTACGCCACATATTTAAGGTCCAGTGCCAGTCTTCTATACTCAGCTGGTACCTGGGCTTATAGAGGGGAAGGAGAGTTCTGCAAAATAGTAGAGTAAGGCTGGTACCAGGTTGAGAGACAAGACCACATCAGCCGCGCTGCAGTGGGTGCAAGCCTTTTTCAGTGATTAGGCAGTTGACAAAAATACACTGGAATCTGCCAGAACTCCACTAACCAATGTGCCAGTTTGATTTTATGTTCTATGCACTTTCCCTTAATGCTTTATTAGGCTTTGTTGTTTGCATTTTTTTCCCTCTCTCGTGAGTTTGTAGTTATAGGAAATATACTTGCTAGCATTCTTTGCAATTTCCTAGTTATTGGCTTCATTTTAATAGTTATTCATACAGCTTTAATAGCTTTTCATATCATGTATGTTAAAAAATATTGTGCCAATTCAGTTGAACAGTATATTATTGGTTTAAAAGTGTGGACATATGTCTTTATTTATTTACTTTTCTTTATATATTAGTTTATTCCATATCACTGGTATCAATTCTATTGACACAGAAATACTTTGAAAAGTCTTCATCCGAGCTGCACATTAAGGTAAACTAGTTATGATGTTCTGTAGAACGCTAGTAAAACTGTCTAGGTTAACATTACATTTTTATGAACTTTTCTGAATGGTTACAGATCTTTAGTAACTTATTTTCAGAGGGATTAACAAAGATATGTTTACACTTGTGTGTGTGTGTGTGTTGTATACAGACTACTCCTGTGATGTTGGCTTCTGAAAATATAAATGCAGTTTTGTATTCTGTTTGTTGTTTTTTCTTGCAGGCTTTGGGTCAATGCTGCGTGCCATTGGTGCCCAGATTGAGAAGACAACCAGCAGAGAAGCGTGCCGTGACTTGAGTGGCCGTCGAATGAGAGATATCAATAATGAGAAAAAGTGAGTGATGTATTGTATTTTTTTTGTTACACGTGGCAGCGAAGTCGATTGTGCCCTATTCTAAGGCTTGGGATAATGACTTGCTCTGGTCTGTGATGGGTTCAGCCACCACATAAGTGGCAATCCATCCTCAAAGAGTGAAACAAGTGACAAGGTCAACATGTCACATGAAATTAAAGGTTTGTTAAAATAAAATAGTTTGCATTGCTTACTCAACTGCTAGCTCTTGATACCATTATAAAGTGGTCTGCTGCCTAATCGCCCACAGCTAGAATCAAACTGGGTACTTCAGAATTGCAAACAGTGTTTGCGAGCTCCAAACCACAGACGCTGACTGAGACTAGAACATGGAAAGACCCGCCATTTTTTCCCAAGGCTAGCAGGAGGCACATATGTCAACTGATAGTGTGTGTTGATTGGAATACAATTTGCTTTTTGAACATCTGCATCCTTGTCACGTATTTAATTAACCCTTTTTTGTGTGTCCGTCGACAAAGACTCTCTGGCCAAAATATTCAGTTGTATTTGTGCATGTCTTTGTCTTTCCTGCACTGAGCTGTTGAGGCCTAGGTTTGTTTAGTGTTTAGTTACAGCTTGACTGCAGTAACTCTTGGTTTACCTCATCACTTTTAAACTGGTGAGACTGTCAGGTTCAGTGTGTAAGCTCTCTGAGTTGATAGCTCTCATTCTAAGTACCGATGTGAGCAATAACATATTTCCTTGCAGAACACTTTAATACTGGAGATTCCCGCGTGGGTTCCGGGGCCCCATTATGCGGAAATCAAGAATAGAACCACTGTCTGCCCAAAGCATGTCATAAGAGTCAACTTATTGGGAGCTTCTTTCGAAGTCGGAGTGCATCTGTCCCAAGGGCAAGGAACCAACAGTCTGCATACAAATAAGTAAGATTTGTAAAACATTTGCACATGCAACACTCAGGTTCTGGAACAGGACTACAGTTCAGAAGTGGACAATCAACTAGAACTTTCCACTGGCGTTTACAGCTGGAGGACACGAAGAAGAAGAAGTATATTGGAGAGTTTCATAAAGGCAACATTGTTAGACTGGTTTTTTTGCATGACTCCTTATTGTTTCTATTGTAATGGGAATCTAGGCTGAAAGACTGGCTTGCTAAAGAAGCTGAGCGAGAAAGTGAACGTGAACAACGCAGACAGGAGAGACAGGCTAAAAGACTAGCACAGAACCCACACAAGTTTGATGATGCAGTGTACCATGAACAACGAGCCAAGGTGCAGGAAGATTTACAGGATGCGCTCAGTAAAGGTACATTTGTGCTTAACTGGTCATTTTATCATGCGAACTTTTTCGATTATTTACATTTCAGTGCTGTTAAGGTAGTGCCATTTTACAAGAAGAAAGTTAATATCGTGTTGTGTGCCAATTTTATTAGCATGAACCGGTTTAAAGAGAAATTGCAGGAATCACTACTTTTTCCCTATCTATTGACCTGTTTGTTTTTACCTATCTATTGACCTGTTTGTTTTTCCTATCTATTGACCTGTTTGTTTTTCCTATCTATTGACCTGTTTGTTTTTCCTGTCTATTGACCTGTTTGTTTTTCCTATCTATTAACCTGTTTGTTTTTCCTCTAAAAAGGACTCAAAAGGACACACAAAAAAGCTAAGGGACACGACTGTGCCGACAAGAAGATTAAGCTAGCATCAGCATCTGGCAGCATTTCCAAGACTGAGTGGTAATGGTTTCATTTTGTTTGCTTCTGTAGTGTGTATTTTTTTATATGTAACCATATAAACACTGCGGTGTTCGTGGCTTAGGCATTGGGAGTTTGACTCATAATTCCAACGTACCTCAGTTGAAACCCACTGCTGGCTGCGTGGGTTTTTAATCATGGTATGGGGTTTCGCAGGTCTCGACCCAGCCTAAAATGTGTACCAGGATTTATGTCCTGTGGAAGTAAAGATGGCCGGCGTAATGCTGACCACATTACCCACCTAGTGACCATTGATCTGTAAAAATATGGGTGCTCTTCCCATATACCAGATGCGCTTAAAGGCGTGAAAAATGACTTTTACTTTTGAAGTCGACGCAGCGTTGACGGCTAGATGTCCGCCTTGATAGGAAGGTCATAGGTTCGCGTCCTGACTGTACCAGACCTTGACTCCTGGGTCGACCCATCCTTGAGTTTGTACCAGGTGCAGACCTGGGAAGTGAAGGCCGCTGGAGTGATACTGACCACGTCACCCACCTAGCACCGATTTGTCTATAAAACTATAGGTCTAACCCTATATACCCAATGCGCCTAAAGGTGTGGAAAATAGACCTTTGTATAAACATTTTTATTAAAAAATTTCTGAATGGATTGCAAGATACAGTCGATTCAACTTAAATCAGACTCGGATAAGTCGACATGACCAGCTTAGTCCTAACAATTTTCCTTCTTTATCTTAGTGTTTAAAATCCGATAAGTCGAATTCGGTGAACTAGAATATTTGGATAAGTAGTAGGGCTGTATCAAATATTCTCTTTGTATTTGCTTCAGGGCCGAATAGTGGACCTAATAACTGTTCGGTATTCGGCCGAATAGTTGCGGTCTGGTCGAATACGAATAGTGGTTACCTTACTCCCGTTTCTGCATACACTGTGATGGACTGAAATAACTCTCTCATTAACACAATAGTTGCTGTTTCCTAAATCTGTCGTAGCGGGGAAAACTGCGACCCAGTTGCGTGGTACAAACTGCATAAAATGCCAACGGCAGTGTGAGTGTGTGTCTATCTGTATGTGAGAAAGAGAGAGGGGGGGGGGGAGAGATCAAGCATTTTTGGTTCTTTCAGGGTGTCTTCGCCCAAATCAAATTTGAAGATAGTGCTAGCGAGAATATGAAGGTGCGTTTAAATTACATCAAACGAACAGCCGAGCGAACGATGGTTTTGAAAGAGGCGGGAGCCCGAAGACAAATAATCACAGACATCAAAAGGAGACAGTCGTCATTTTTCAGCCATGTTATGAGAAGAGGGAAAATGGAACATTTGGTGACCACTGGAAAGATATGTGGAAGGAGGGTTACAGGAAGACAACGATAGAAGATTCACACAAACTGATACATGTTGCAGGAGATAGCAAATTGTGGAGAGGCATGATCGCTCAAGCCAGTCGGCAAGGCACCTGATAATGATGATACACTATTTTTATTAGTATTCGGCCGAATAGTTGGTCCCACTATTCGTATTCGGCCAAATAGTGAAAATCACTATTTGGTACAGCCCTAATAAGTAGATTCAAAAAATAAACTCCCACTATATACACATCCCTGTTTTAAGTCGAACCTTCATTATCACTATGAAAGAAATATTTCTTTAGTCAGCCAGAAAATAACGTGAAATCTCAGTTACAATATCTTGCTACAAACAGTATTAACAATGGCAGTCGAAAGCTGACTATAAAAAAAAAAGGATGAAACAAAGTGGGAAGAAGAAAGTGGATATAGCCAGGGAATCTGGTATTCCAAGCTCGACACTTTCTGGTATTTTAAAGCATAAGGAACGCTTCAGGCATTGTTTTTTTTTTTGAGTGTAAAATCAGAAGTGACAGACAGCGAGATAGAACATCGTCATGCAATTTTGTTGATACTGCTCTTTTTAAAATGTTCACTGTGTTTAAAATGGCAAATGTACCCATGATTGGGCCATTCATTATGGCAAAAGCAGAGGAATTTGCACGTCTTGGAGGTCAGACAGACTGGACATATAGTGCTGGCTGGTTCAACCATTTCAGAAAAAAAACGCCATTGCATAATTATTTTCAGCCCAAAAAGCAAAGCAAAATCTCAGACTTTTTCTTTAATTAATGTCTGAAATTTCCTGTGGTTTTAATGTTGTACCTTCTAAAATAATTAAATATTTCAACATTTTTGACATTGTATTGCTATTTATTTGTTTAATTATGGTGTTTCCTAACTGGTATACATTGTTTGACTCAATGCTACTGCTCAGTTTTAGTGTACATTCTCAGCTGTGTAAGCTGTCTGGATAAGTAGAACTCCTGATAAGTGAAAGGCATTTTCTTAGGTCCCTGCGACTTCTACTTATCCAGACTTGACTGTATTCATTTTTGTGTCTGTACAGAATTGTGATTTTAAAAGATCTGTTGTTTTTCCCATGTGTACAGGATTGAGATTTTAAAAATCTGTTGTTTTTCCCATGTGTACAGGATTTTGATTTTTAAAATCTGTGATTTTTCCCACGTGTGCAGGATTTTGATTTTTAAAATCTGTGATTTTTCCCACGTGTGCAAGATTGTGATTTTAAAAATCTCGTTTTTCCCAAATGTGCAGGATTGTGTTTGAAAAAATCTGTTGTTTTTCCCATGTATGCAGGATTGTGATTAAAAAAATCTGTTGTTTTTCCCATGTGTGCAGGATTGTGATTGAAAAAATCTGTTGTTTTTCCCATGTGTGCAGGATTGTGATTGAAAAAATCTGTTGTTTTTCCCATGTGTGCAGGATTGTGATTGAAAAAAATCTGTTGTTTTTCCCATGTGTGCAGGATTGTGATTGAAAAAAATCTGTTGTTTTTCCCATGCGTGCAGGATTGTGATTGAAAAAAATATGTTGTTTTTCCCATGCGCGCAGGATTGGTGTGGACATTGATTCCAGCAGCAGCTCTGATGGTGAAGCCAGTCCTGGTGATGCAGATCCTGGTGATGCAGATGCTGACATCAGCCAGAGTTCCTGCAGCAGAGATTACAGTGCTGGTGATGGAGGCAGCAGCTCATCAACTCTTGAATCCTCAGATAATGGTAAAGATAGTGATCTGGTTGAAAGGAGGCTGGGGGTTGAAGGATTGGATCAGACATCAACACGCGACTGTGGTGCAGACACTTCAGAGATCAAAGTCAGTGAGCAAACATTATCTATGGACACAGGCTGCATTGAGGGCAGTGAAGTCAGTATAGACAAGCAGAAACAGAATCTAATTGTGAGCAATGATAACTCAGAACCTACCAATAATGATGAGCCAGTAGATTTGGATAGGTACGATAGCAAGGATGAGTTGGCAAGTCTTGGAATGGAGAGACTGAAAAATGCCTTAATGACCCGGGGCCTTAAATGTGGTGGCACATTAGAGGAGAGAGCAGAAAGATTGTTTTCAGTCAAAGGCTTAAGTTCAGATGAGATTGATCCATCATTATATGCTAAAGGTAAAGGAAAAGGCAAAAAGTCCAAGTGAATCACAGCCTAATTGATCCATCATTTTATGCTAAAGGTAAAGGAAAAGGCAAAAAGTCCAAGTGAATCACAGCCTAATTGATCCATCATTTTATGCTAAAGGTAAAGGAAAAGGCAAAAAGTCCAAGTGAATCACAGCCTAATTCCTTTCACTCCCTTCTGTTGCTGTTTCAGCTCTTGCTTTTAAATTCAACACAGGACTTTCTTGTCAGTCTGAATCCACTACTGCCACAATGGTGTGTTTAAACCAGTTCCTTTACTGACAACTTCTTCTTGTTTCATGTAAGTAAAACTCAGGTGCCAACCTCCACAGTCGAAGAATGTCAAAACTACTGCTGTTCTGTTATGTCACACTATAACCATTTTGGAACACTTTAATTCTTATTTATTTCATATTGCATGGCACTGACAAAAAGCTTTATATGGCAACAACTTGTTGAGAATAGACATTTATTTAGCAGCTGCATCTTTTTTTTAAATTCTTTAAACAGCAATCAGTTAGGAATGAATTTACAATATTTTCTGATGCAATTTCAGTTTTTGAAATGACTTTCTCAGTTTTATTCAAGAACTTGTCAACTCATCGTAGAAACAGGAATTTTGTGTATTGGAAATTTACTTTGTCAGTAACCTGTTTTTTTTTTTTTTTTGTCTTTTTAAAATACACTGTTAGGGCTGTAAAATATCAAATGAGATTAACAGTAGAACCAAAGCAGTTAATAGCATGATGTCACTTCATTGATGAGGCAGCTAGCCATCTTAAAAGAACTCTGAAAAGGCAGTCAGATGGGAGGAGGTACCAAACATAACTTAACCCTACTGCTTTGTCAGTTTCATCCCTTCAGACTAAGGTCAGGGGAATGCTGTAGAGAAACTGCTGGGAAAGGGCAGCATTACCTTTGTACATCCCTATTATATTTTGAGCTGACAATACACACAATAAAGTAGTAGGCCTTCACAAAAATGATTCAAACAGTCAACTGATTATGGAAATTTGAATAGATGTTCAAAATTCTGAGGGTGATTTGGAGAAATAAAGAGTGATAACTGACAGTCATGGTGTTGAGTTGATTCAAGAACCGACATCACAGCACTCTGGGCATTCCCACAAGCGCTCCGTCCACATCTTCAGCAGCCAGCGAAGAGTTCCAATACTAATGGTGCCAGTAGCATTCTGATCAAACGTCCGTCTTACCTTTCCTCTGAGCTCAAGCATCTGCCAGAACCTCTCGTCACTGCCCCCCCCCCCCCCTGCGTTAATCTCACCAGACTGCGGTGATTCATCTGCTCCTCCAAACTGTACATGCTCTACCACCACAAGGCACTAACCACGTCTGCCCTGTCATGCATCAGTATTCCACCAAGTTGTGCAGAGCCATACAGACTGTCCGCTTGTTCATTTCCTAACACAGCTACGTAACCGGTGAACAAATCAAGACAGTACTCCTCACCCGTGTCCTCTGCAGTGAAGCATGCCATTCTGCATGTAGCATGCTTGTCCTGATATTCCTCAGCATGCTTCATGGTGTAAAGATATCAAGGGTAAAACAAAGATAAATACCTGGATGGTCTGGCAACATGATCTATGATCAGCCATGATTGCCCATGCTTACTGGCCCAGCACATGGTGATAATTAGAATACATAATCACATCTTCAGACATCTATTCAGTTCATGTGCAGTCCATGATAACAAGACATGTTTTTCAAAAAAAAAAAAAAAAATCAATTTTTTGGGTGGAAGAAACCATGAATGCCACGCCAAGAATTTTTGACATTGACTATTTTCGAGTGGCTTTTGAAATGTCCATCATAAACCTGGGGACTTATGCATTACATTTTTATGGTGGAAATAGAGTGAAAATAAATCGGAACTGGTCAATGGTAAATTCAGTTTTCAGTTATTTCAACGTTAGTCTCCCCAAATAAAGTAGGTCACTTTTTATTCACAAGTTTGTTGGGCTGGTCGACTTTCCTGAAGATTATGGGTGTGTCCCGCTCTGTTGTTTGGTTTCTGCCATGTCTTGCATTTACGTTTTTATTCCGAGAAAGTTAATGCCTGTAACACAGAAGTGAGGTAGTGTGTATATGGGCGGGGTCTGGGGAGACTAATGTCAAACTAACCCCAGATTTATTGAGTATAAAATAAACAACATTTTAGAACACATTCTGTCATGACTGGATTTCAAGACAAAGAACCAGGCACACACTTCTTGAGATTGAAAGAGTTTAAACCAGATTACTTTTCTTGGGGTGGCTTTACCATAACATCTGTTTTCCAAAGTATCCTGAACTTTGATCTGTAACAACACTGTGGAACTGTTGTCAGAACAAAGTCATTGCAGCATTTGTTGTCTAAGACTGTTAAATTGTAATTTTTCATAGGCATTATAATTTAAACATTCAACATTTGAAAATCTTCAAGTGAAATTATAGGCATTATTTTTCTGTCAGCTGTGAGATTAAATTTCTGGTAAAAAAATGTTCACAAGAGTTTGTTTAATGTGTTTTTATGATTTCTTGATTACAAGTTCATTACAAAACAGTTGTGCCCTGAAATGCTGTATCTACCAAAACAGTTGTGCCCTGAAATGTTGTATCTACCAAAACAGTTGTGCCCTGAAATGCTGTATCTACCAAAACAGTTGTGCCCTGAAATGCTGTATCTACCAAAACAGTAGAGCAGATTTTGTTGTAGGTAACATTACATGCAAAAGTGTACGTCAAGGTAAAAAATGCATATGGTTAAGACAGGAATCAAAATTATGCACATCTTCACTGAGAATGGATGCATGTTGCAAACAATGTATATACAATATGGTGGTTTTCTATTTTGTAGTAAAACATCGCATTTTGTTAAACCAAATAATGGTCTTGGAACAAACCACATTTTTTGTTTTTAAATTTAGAAATATAAACAGTATCATATTTCTAATACTGAGAATATGGTAATCATCTTCTTTTATCACACACACACCACTCCCCTTTCCTTCTCAACCCCACCCCCAGACATGTATTGATGTCATTTTTGTGTGTGGAGCAGGGTTGCCATAACTGTCCAGATCTGATTGAAAATGTATCAGCGCCTGTTTAACACTACATTCTCTTAGAAAGTTTATCTACGGACAGAGCAGACATGCCGAATGTGCAGCATTCTAGAGACTCTGCAACAAAGGAGTCAGAGACAATAAACCACCTGATGGAAATGGGTATTCAATGAGGACAAGCATGTAGAAACCAGTTGCGGGTTTTAAAAAAAAGATTTGCCATCCAACTGCTACTGGGTACACTAAGCATGGAGACAAGGAGATGGCTGCTGCAGTAGGGGACACAGCACATATGGCTCAGACCGATATGTTAGGATGTCACTACAGACAAGTGACAAGCATACGTCTGATAGATACAAGTCCACTTCAGCTCTAGCTAGTTTGAAATTCTGTACTTTCTACAAGGACACTATTTCCATTCCTGTGCCAATGAAAACAAATTGCCCCTATTATCCCTTCTAAAGAAAATAAAACAGGTTTCACTCACGACAAAGCCAAACCGATAGCAAACACATGCATTCTGCCACTACATCAACTTCTACAGAGGGGTTTAAAGGTAGGACATTTACCTTTACAGAGGGGTTTAGAGCTAGGACATCAACCTTTACAGAGGGTTTTAGAGGTATGACATTTACAGAGGGATTTAGAGGTAGGACATTAACCTTTACAGAGGGGTTTAGAGGTAGGACATTAACCTTTGCAGAGGGGTTTAGAGGTAGGACGTTAACCTTTACAGAGGGGTTTAGAGGTAGGACATTAACCTTTACAGAGGGGTTTAGAGGTAGGACATTAACCTTTACATGGAGTTTTAGAGGTAGGACATCAACCTTTACAGAGGGTTTTAGAGGTAGGACATTAACCTTTACACGGGGTTTTAGAAGTAGGACATCAACCTTTACAGAGGGGTTCAGAGGTAGGACATCAACCTCTAACTTCTGAAGTTCTTGGTTCAAGTACCATTGTGGACTAATGCTATTTTCCAAAAAAAACATAAACAATATTATGCTCTCCCCTCATCCCTGGACAGGATGCTGTTCTTCTTGAACAAGAATGCAGTAAAGGAATGCTTTGTGTGCATGGCCTATGCTCCATTGTGAGGATAAAGGGTACGGGAAGAAGAATAAATTAGCATATATATTTCCAACATTGCAGGAGATATGGAATTATTCAAAAGACTAATGAAATATTTATGTTGTCTAATATAAAGTCAGTAAGGAATGACAGCACAACAATGTCAAGGTTTTGCTTCTATAACTTTGAAATGTCACCAATCATGTTACGGGTGTTTGCAAAATTAGGCACCCCAGAATGTTACTTCCTATCCTCTCTGTGGGTTCTTGGGCCTGAGGGTTAGAACAACTATCCACTAACAAGTATATGTCATAAAAGAGAAATGATCATATGTTTGCTGAAATTAAAGTGTAGGACAAAAGGCAGCATGACTGTAAAAACATCTTCACCGTAAAGATGACAGTCTCAGTTTATCTGAACCATTCTTCTTCTTCTTCTGTCTGACTGCTTAAACAATCAAGTATTGCAGAGAAGAGTTTATATGTAGTTTCCTGGTTTTTTTTTTTTTTTTTTTTTGCTAACTGCATAGCTTGTGTTATTGTCATGTTCCATTTACTGAACCCACTGACCTGTTAAAAACTGTTCACTTACTCAAGATGCTGAAAGCAGCAGCTGGCCAAGTGGTTAAACTGACAAGCCCTCATGCAGAAGATCTAGGTTTGATCCTCAGAAAGGGATGACGATTTTTTTTTTATGGTGGTGGGGGGGGGGGGGTGTTAACCTGCACAGTCTGTGGTGACCGCAATAGCCATGCAGCCTCAAATTTTCTGGTCCACGTACCTTGTCCACACCCCCCCCCCCCCACACCAAACTTTCCAATGGCAAATACAGGCAGTAAAGAGATTTAACATCAACATTCCTACAATTTCTGAGCATCAAGAAGA